CTAGCCACCAGCGCCGCGGCGCCTCTGTGGTGGGTGCGTGCACATCCCAGCTCGGGGCGGGGCCGAGGTGTAGTTGGGGTCGGGGTCGGGGTGGAGGGTCGGAGTCGCAGTCGGGGTCTAGGCCGGGACTCACCCGCCCGGGGGTCTAGGAGCAGGGCGAGTAGACACTTTCCAAGCTACCTCTTCCTAAGCAGTTTGTCTAACTATAGGACACGGGCTTGTTAGAAAGGCCGAATCCTTGGCCTCCTCAGGTCCTGGGTACAGAACTAGAATCTTCACCTTAACAGGATCACCTCAAACCGTTTGGTGGAGAGCGGATCCACATTCGAATGGTTCTCATATTCTGCTTTCAACCTGTGCACCAAGCCACCTCTGTTTAGTTGCCCCAGGAGGTATGAAGTAAGGAGTGGGACACGGAATTGACTAGACACGTGAGGTGTAACTGGCAGGTACTGCAGAAGGCTCGCTTTATGTAGGGCCTACCTCATCGTAGTGGTGTTTTCTCTCTGACTAGTTGTGTGAATGCAAGCACACAGATAATAGTTTAGTCAAGGAGGCAACAGAGACGTTTAGAGCACAGAGGAGGCTGGGAATACACTGTCGGACGCGCAATTTGAAACCAGTAGGCTAGGAAGTGAGAGCAAAATAGGCCAATGAAGTGCGCAGGATTGGCAGAGCGAGTGAGCCGAGGCAATAAGAGTTGCCTTTGGAGAGTAGGGTGTAAGACAACCAAGGTGGTAGATTGGTGAGATAAGGTAGGTCATAAAGCCATTAGAGTATTTAAGTCAGAGGAGCGTGGAGAGATGGCTCAGTGGTTAAGGGCACTCGTTGCTCTTTAGAGGACCCGAGTCTGGTTCCCTGCACCCACAAGATGGCTCATAACCGTCTGTTCCAGGGGATCCGACACCTTCGGGTGTATATACAAACACGCAGGCAAAACACTCATATGTAGGTAAAAATAAAAAGATATTAAAGTAATTTACAAACAGTGAGATGGCAAAGAGAGTTGGAGGTCTACATTAACGCTGATCTCCTTCCTCCCTCATAAAGCATTGACTTTAACCTTGGGATACTGTTCGTCCCACAGAAATGCGTTTCTTAGCCTTGCTGGTAGGCAGAGGTGGAAAGTTACCTTCTATTAAGAACTTCCGTTAAGTGTTTCTCCATTTCTCTTTCCTTGTATATAGGATGTCCTATAGGGTGGCTAAGCACTCCAGCCGTCACTTTGGACCATGAGGGAGCTAAAGAGCAACGGAAGAAAAAAAAAAGTGTAGTGGCACAGGCCTTTAATCCCAACACTCGGGAGGCAGAGGTAGGCAGACCTCTGGGAAGTTGAGGCCATCCTGGTCTACATAGTACCAGGACAGCCAGAGCTACATAGTGAGACCTTGTCTCACACAGCCCCCCCCACAATAAATAAATAAATAAATAAATAAGTAAATAAATAAATAAATAAATAAATGAGAAAAACTATGCAGGTATCAAATCATCTCATAAAAGATGTCTTCCAGGCATTTTATTTTCATATGAGAGGGAAATAAATGTCAAAATCTTGTTAGGCCGCTGTTGTCCACCACTTTTCTATTAAACTCAGCTGAACCTGATCCTACTTGATACATTGGACCGACTGAGTACTAACTACATAGGTATTAAAATCAACCTCATGAACAACTACCTACAGACAGAAGCATTAAGCTGGGTGCTGAAGTCTTCACCTACTGAAGGGGGGTAAACAGATCTATAAATAACTACAGCCAGGAGAGGTAGTGGCTGCTTCCGAAGGGCTAGGGAACTGGAAAAGGAAATAGCACATCATGAGACTCAAGGAATGGATAAGCCCTGCTTTCTGTTCTAAGATCTTGGCCTTTTGAGGAAATAAGTTGTATACTGACACCTGTTTCAAATCAGACAAAGCATTAGAACTAGCCAGACCCAGATGAGTGATCTACTCCAGAGTTCTCTGCAAAAACATTTTGCTCCCAACTTGGTTCCAGATGCTAAACACTGTTTAGTCAATCCTTTTAGAAGAGTGATATTTAATCCTTTAAATTTTATTCATTTTACCTCTCTTGTTAAATATGTTCATTCAATTAATTATCACTAGTTTATTGAGCCCCACTATGCTCCAGGTGATACACTGAGCACTGGGAACACAGATTAATTACAAGGCATCTGCCTTAATTACTAATTCAGAGATGTATGAGGTAAAGGAATCACTGTCGTTGTGTCCTGTGTTGAGGATGTCTGTAAATGGGATTAACAATTCTATTAATATTAATTAACGTTGGTTATTAACACAGTGGCAGTTTTTCCTTAACCTGCTTTTTTTTTTATAAATAAAGGTCACAGAAACTTATAATAAGCCTTATAAAACTTATAATAAGCCTTGAAACATTAGGGCTGGGCAGATACCAGCCCTCTAAAATCCTGTCTGCTTCCCATCCACAATCTCCATAAATACTTGCACATGTCCTGGTTAGGCTGTTAGTGCTTGTCATGCCAGTCCTCACAGCAAGCTGCCCTTGGCCATGTGCTCCTGGTTGACCTAACCCATGGCGACCTGCTCTTTCCTTCTCCTCCTGGTGGTCCTTCTCAACCCCACAACCAGCGAATCTTCACGCTGCCTATCTTTCTTCTGTCCAGCCCAGGCTATAGGCTTTAGTAGCCAACGAGGGATAATTTGTAGGCAAGGTTCACACATCATTTTTGGATGCATGAGAATTAGCTGTTAGGACAGTAAGGACCTTGGGGGGGAGGGGAGGAGCAATTAACATTTCATTACATAGTAGCTCCAGATCAACTGTAATGGATGTCCACCAAATGTGATTGAGGAATTGAACATACCGGATGTGATGAGAGCGCAAAGGTCACCTGTGTCCCCTTCAGGGTTGGGAAGCTGTTCCTGGAAGGGATACAGATGAACTGAAAATCTTGAAAAATCTTGGGCATAGACAGTCTGGAGGGTGTTTATGTACTGTGCTGTAGACAACCTGGTTTATGTATAGCTTGTCCTTCATATCTGTCATTTTTCTTTCTGGGCACTACTGGTTGAATGTACTCAGCCCCACGGAGCAACTTACCTAAGTAATTTTAAGAAGTCTTGACCTTCTACCACCAAAACCGCCAACAATAATTTATACTTATCCACCACAGGAAACAAAATTGCTGTAGTAAGTGATATCATGATTTATTAGAGTGCCTTAATATGAGCAGAATAAAAAAAAACAATAATTTAAATAAATGGTCCCAGCCCATGTCCTTAAAAAAAAAGATGTATTTGTTTTTGTTTTATGCGTGAAGAGCTTTTGCTTGCATGTGTACATCTGCACCACATACATGCAGTGCCTGAGGAGGCCAGAAGAGGGAGTCAGATAGCCTGGAATTGGAGTTGCGGACAGTGGAGACTGACCGTGTGGATTCTGGGAACCAAACCTCAGTGCTCTGCTAGAAGCAGCTAGCTCTTAACCACGGAGTCTTCAGGTGACTCCAATACTTGGCTGAGAAAAATTCTAATATACTGTAGCTTGGGCCAAACTCTGAACTTAAAAAACAGAACAACAACTCAAACAAACAAACAGTTTTAGATTTAGGTTGCAAAGAGTTTCTGGACGTTCCCTGGAACACTGTCCCTGTGTTGCCTTTATCAGTTTAGCGCCAATTTCGACACACCGGTTTTCAGCCAGGGCACACACTTATTAACTTCAGCTTTTGCTTAGTGCGAGTTTTCTCTTCCTGGATTCTCACTGCCTCCCTCCAAGGCTCCTGTATGCTCGGAAGCCTGTTGGGTTTGGTGACTTCAACAAGTCTAAGGGAAGCAAAGTATTTGTAGATCACCCTGAGGTTGTCTAGCCTGGGCTATCATCTGAAGGAGAACACCTCAGGGGCCATGTCCTGGGTACAACTACCAGCTGTACAACTACGATTGCCACTGCTCCTGTCGACATGGCCCACCTGGTTGAGACAGTCTGTCCAGCTTCTCCTCTGCAGTTGGCCCTCACTGCCTCCCACACTAGGCTTCTAAAGGAAGTTGATCTGTGCAGTACTTTTAAGAGAGTTTTGTGGGGCTCAGACGTTAAGAGCACTGGCTGTTCTTCTAAATGGTCCTGAGTTCAATTCTCAGCAACCACGTGGTGGCTCATAACTCATCTACAGTGAGATCTGGTGCCCTCTTCTGGTTTGCAGGCACACATGCAGGCAGAATGCTGTATATAAATAATAAATAAATCTTTAAAAAAAAGAAAATGTTTTGCTTCATTTCCTAGAGTGGCAAGTACATAAATTATTTGAAATTCTGTGTGAGAGCTTTATCCTGTTCCACTAATGTTTTCAATCATTTGTTTATAACAGTGTGGACTCAGGTATCTATGTTTCATGTTATAGTCCAATACTATTTATTTATTTATTACTCTTTTTTTTTTTTTTTTTTTTTGCCAATTTGGCCACTGGGGCCAAATGATGTCTATGCCCTTTTGACATGTGCTATTCAGTTCTTTTTGTCCACTTCTGTATTCTGTGGTGTTACTTTTGGGTCATCAGATAGATCATAGCTGAGAAAGTGGTGTCACCTTTTAATATGTCCAGAGGAGCAAACATATAAGTTAACAAATTAGTACATGTTATTCAGTAGCTATTCTTAATATCTTCGTATGTTTTATATCTTCAGTTGTTTTACATTTAATATCCTATTTTAGTCTTATCTGCAGCTGTAGTTTAGAAATTGATGAGGCTTTTGTAGTTGTACATATTCTAAGTGGAATGAGAGAGTCCAATCAATTTAAAACTCCACGCTTTGAGAGAAGCCTCTGGTATTAGGCTGATAAGAAGAGATGACATTCCTGGAGGTATAGTATGTCAACATCTTTACACGCTAAATGAGAGAAACTTTATATTGCCGAAGAAGAAAAGTTAAGAAGGAGGGCTTCGATTTACTTTTGAACAAAAGCAATCTTCAGATTAAAAAAAAAAATCCCAGATCCATTTTAATAATGACAGACACTCAGTTTCTTTTTTTAAAAAGGATTTATTTATTTATTATGTATATAATGCCTGCATCCCAGACAAGGGCATCAGATCTCATTATAGATGGTTGTGAGCTACCGTGTGGTTTCTTGGAATTGAACTCGGGACCTCAGAGCACAGACAGTGCTCCTAACCTCTGAGCCATTTCTCCAGCCCCAAACATTCAGTTTTAAAGGACTGGAGTGAGGAAAAAGATTCCAGAAGCCCTACCAGGGCTCGGTGCTTAAGTTTGCAGAGGGTACACTGGGTGAAAAGTGAGGCAGCTGTCCGAATACGTATTCAATTAGGAAAAGGAAAGTTTGGGTTCTCACATATCTGCTTATGTATAGTGTTATTCTAATGCTGCTCTTTCAGCTGGTCAAATTCTTTTATCAACCTATTAGAAGATCGGAAATTATTTCAATGACTTTTAAACCTAGAGAGCAATTTCTTTTCTGGTTTTGTATTTTTTGTTGTTGTTGTTGCTTGAGCCAAGTTCTCACCATGCATGCAAACCTGGTTGGCCTGGAACTTGCAATGTAGACTAGGCTGTTTTTGAACTTGTGGTGATCCTTTGCCTGAAACTCCCAAGTTCTAGAATTACAGGTATGTGCCACTTTGTTCAGTTTAGTAGTTCTTTTTTTAAGAAAATGAGAGCAGGAGATAGGAAGATGGCTTGGTGAGTAAGAGTTCTTGCTGTGAAAGCAAGAGGTCCTGAGTTAAAATCCCCAGCATCCATTTTAAAGATGGACATATTCAGTTATAATATTAAAAACAAAAGTTAGCCTTCTGGTAGATAATGAATTGTATCAAAAGAGTTCTATGGAGTCAGCCATTTATTAAATTGACTTAGGGATGACCCTTCATTTCATAAACATTAACAAGTGTTTATTAAGCATATGTCTTATGTCAGAACTTAGCTGATGACATATTTTCTGTCTTGCCATGCAATAGCCTCACTGTATTCATCATGAAGCCAGGAGCTCCTCACCATCTGCACCCGTAACCTTAGATTTCTAGTCCTGAGCCCTAAATGGTTGTTCTTACTGGACCACACTCTGTAGGAATTCTTGAAATAGACATATTAGCTCAGCTAACAAGGTCAACTTGTAGCCAGTATGTGTTCAATGGTGTGAGCAGTCTTTTCAAGCTGTGTAATTACACACTGAAGTCTAGGTATGCGAGATTAGAAACACAACAGAGTCAAGCATTAAGCGAACTCTGTAAATGACATATAAATATGACAAAAGAAGACCTGAGCTCATGCTCTGGGACTTGTCAGAAGGAAAAAGCGGAGGCTCAACAGAGGGAGGAAGATGAATTAATAAACCAAAACCCAGTATCACAGACAGAAAACCAAGAAAAATTAATGATTGAGGGAGGAAGAGAGAGAGAGATTCTGTGCAGTATGAGGCTGGTTCTGAAGGTGTCCGCCCCCTAGATGGATCTTTCCAGTGGAAGCCGGAACACTGTACTGCCACATCTAGAGGTAAGCCAGGATTACAGCAAAGAAAGCAACAGCCAGCATGAGGACACGTGTTGTCGTCAGCAAAGCCCTAGCATCGTCCTTTCCAACTACTCTTGTCATCAGAGGCTTTCGTACACGGTCTTCTGTAGTGAGGATAGTTTGTCGGGCTCCAGCCCACTTTCCAGGGCCCTGAAGGCGATACTGGACTGGAGTACAGGGTCCCAGTAGTAACTGTAATGCCAGCTTGGGGTCAGTGAAGGCCAGAGACAGGAGATTGGGCCTGACACCCAGCAAATCTGCAATCTCTTCCATGATGTCTACATAGTCTGCCTGGATGGTGTGACGCTGGCTGTCCACATACCTAAGGCAAAGAAGACAGAAGTCCCAGGCTATCAGCAGTTGAGGCAAACAGCCAGCCAACTAGCCAGCCAATCAGTGCTTTACAAGCGTCTGTTTGTGGGATGGATAGTTTCCTAAGAACCGAGAAAATAGATAGGCCATTTGTTACCTTCCTTATGATACATTAGACTCTATAATGCATAAACACCATGCTCAGGAAGGTCAGAAGTATATAAGCCTTCAGGTAAGTATTCTGGGTTAGATGCAAAATGGAAATATAGAGAGAAGACAGTTAAGAGATCTGTGGCCAACAGATCCTTGAAGGATAAAGCTAGAGTGAGAACGAAGGAAGGATGGTAAGTGAGGTGCCAAGAGTGAAGGAGCGAGGAAGAAATGGGCATAGAATATGGGCACACACATCTGGTACTGCCTGCAGCAGTGGAAATGGATGGAGCTGGGGAGGCAAGCCTGGCACGTCCAGAGGGTGCCATGCTATGCCACATGGGATGCCGTGAAGCTCCTTAAGCAGGGACCCTCAGTTACTCAATGAGGGGTGTACAGAACAGGGCTTCCCTGCACCAATGCTCATTTGCAGCTCTTGAGAAGATGAGGGTGAGTGACAGCCTCTGAGAGTAACTGGTCCCCTAGGTGGAGCCAGACGGGGTGATTATACCAAATGCAAATGTAAAGGGTTAAAAAGAGTCTTTAGTGGGGAAATACGACCAACAGTGGTATCTGTGTGGACAGAGGGGATCCGGGGACAGCGAGTGGAAAGCCAGCGTTTGGCAATGTGACCGATGTAAACAGAGAGTGAGTCAGAGTGGGAGTAAAGGAAAAGCCATGCTAACGGAGACGGAGGAATTCAAAATGAAGGACAGAAACACAGAAAAGGAAGCAAATTTGAGTAGAACTGGCTGGTGAGATGGACTGAGGGACTGAGGGACTCTCAGATGACCATGTAGCAATTACTGAAATGAAACTAAGTTTTGGAAGAGGGGGTACAGGGAAGAACTTGGGTGCTCCAGTGGCCCCAACTTTGTGGGCACGCATTCACTTACACCATGGCTGGAAGTTAGAGCTGTAGCATTCACAAAGGCCCAAGAAAAGGAAACCACTAAAACATTTCCAGGGTTGTCGCAAAGAGTAGATCATCTCCATGCATATGAAACGCTAAATGTGGGCACAAAATTGACCCTCAGTACAGGTCAAGTGACAGCCCTGGGGACCACACATGGCCAGGTCATTAGAAAATAAGCCGAAGAAAAAAGGGGAAGGGAGTGGAAATAAAACAGTTTAGCAGCCCCATGGAAGGGAGAGAAAACACTCCAAGAAGAAAGAGTACTCGGAAGTGTCAACCTCGTAGTGAAGGGAAGGAGCCAGAAGTGAGCTGCGGAAGACCTCCAAGAGAGCAGCTTCAGCGGTGCCCAGGAGGGACGCAGCGCATCTGCTAAGAGACCTCTTAAAAGAAAGGCTTACTGTTTGGCCCTCAAGATGGGACACGCCATTCAAGGATAGCCTCCTCTTTTACTTGACAGCATGGCTAGCATTTAAGCAATTCTCAGCAGATTATATACCCGGTGTTCCCTCGGTATCTTTTTTCCTACTCAACTCCTTTTAGGCTCTAAACATAGCCTTTAAACCTATCCCATCAGCTTCTCTCTCCTTCTCCAGCCATACGGAAACCACAGGTGTGGTAATTCCCTCTGACACCACAGTGTAACGGAAACCCTTAAGCCCACACGTGAAAACTAAGTATAGCACAATAGTCTTATGAGAAATACACAGAGCACCCATATGTCTTCCTGGGAAAATGTCTTACCTTTTTGCCATTTCCTCCTGAGTCTTATTTATTTCTGCCATCATTTCACCTTGGGAGGGCAATTTCTTTAGCCCTAAAGAGAAAAATAAAAATAAAAACAGAAGTTTTAATTACCTCAGAATGAGCAGTAATCTTTATGGCAATTACCACACTGTGGGGAATTCAAAGAATTACGGGGTCTCAGAGAGATTGTAAAATGCAGTCCTATCACTACCAAAACACAATGGTAAACACTGAGCACCCTAAATCTGGAGACCAGAAATTAGAAATGCTCCAAATGCAAACTTCTTTTGAGCACTGAAGATGTCACAGTTAAAAAAAAAAAAAAAAAAAAAAAAAGGTTTCACAATGATCTCATGTATCAGGTCACACTCAGAAGGCACAGCTGTACAGAGTCCTTTTAGATGGTTATGTGTAAAGGCATATAGAAAAAAGTAATTAATTCTATGTTTATACTTGAGTCTCAGCCTGAAGATAATCCATGCCACGTACGCTAATTGTCAAAAATCTAAAATCTGGACCACTTCTGGACCTAAGCGTTTTAGATAAGAAATTCTTCCTTCTGTCTCTCAAGTACATATGTCTATAGTTTACTCTATTCTGCCCTGTCCTTGAGAGATAGATTTTATTTTATGTTTTACTGTTGAGATTATAATACAATTACATCTTTCCCTCCTTTTTTTTCTCCCTTCAAGCCCTCTTATACACCCCCTTCTTGTTCTCTTTCAAATTTATGGCCTTGGCTCAGAGGTTAAGAGCACTGATTGCTCTCCCAGAGGTCCTGAGGTCAATTCCCCGCAGCAGCATGGGGGCTCACAATCATCTAGGATGAGATCTGGTGCCTTGTTCTGGCCTGAAGGCAGAACACTGTATGTACACATAATAAATAAATCTAAAAGAAATCAAATTTAAGGCCGCTTTTTTCATTTATTATTACATGTGTATATGTATATGCATTTACTCCTAAATATAACCCGCTCAGTCTGTATAACATTACTTGTATGTATATGTTTTCAGAGTTGACCATTTGGGATTGTGTAACAGATTGGTGTGCTCTTCCCTTGGGAAAACTATCTCTCCTGCTCTCAGCATTTCTTAATTGCTCTAGCTCTTTGTGTAGGATTGATGACTCCTGGTCTTTCCCCATCACTATGGCATGACTATTATTGTTGTACTTGTTCAGCTCAGGTTTAGGCAATTGTGTGGGTGTGACTTCACGGGCGTAGCTTCTGACATTACTAGGAAACGCAATCTCACGGAAAATTCCCGGATCCTTCCTCAGTTACAATTGAATGTTCCCTGAGCCTCAGCTGTGAAAGTTGTTCTGTAGATATACCCAGTGCACCTGGGTTCGGAAGATACTTGCTTTTCTCTGACTTCCAACTGATCCCCTCATGCAGCCTTCCAACTGGGAAATGAAATATGTATATGAGGAAATAACAAAGGACCTTAAAAGCCAGTAAGAAAGGGGGCACAGCATCGAAGTTCAGGAGAGTGGGAGACAGCCCTGCACTGACATCTTGCAATAAAGAGATTTTACACTTCAGAGAAAGACAGAGGGAAAGACTCACCGCCATCTTTCATGCTCAAGTCCCCTGGAAGGTAAGCCTCACAACCTAAATTCTGTGATTTGCTAAGAGCTGAGGGCAAGACCCAAGGGCAACTCCTAATAGCCATTCTACACAAGTAAGTGTAAGCTCTGATGCCCAAAGAGTTCCAAAAGTAAGAATTTGACAGCAATGGTACCAATTAGACAAAGTCCAAATCATATTTAAGCCAAAGTAACTCCAGATCAGCCAGTCTTCTTCACAGAATAGTAGGCGCTAGGCACTAGTCCATAACATTCTGAAATATTTACTTTTACATGGAAATGGATCTTACCTAACGCAATATTCTTCTCTAGAATACTAGTATCAAGCAGTTACCTCATGTCTCCCTAAACAGCTCTGGTCATGGAGACCTTATTCAAGGACATGACACAATTGTTTGGCTGTTCTAACTGCTGGAACATTCTTTGTAGTAACCGTCAAATCTACTATGCAACGCGAAACACTGGACCTAACTCTACTTTTGGAGTGAGAGTTGAGTTTTAATACTTGGCAGGCCTTGAAACAAGAAACATTTAAGTCATTTCATTATTACATTAATCTTGTCTCCCATATAACAGGTTTCACATTCTCCCATGTCTTGGTGCTTTTCATTTTCTGAGCACACACCATTAACTCTCCTGGTAGGCTCTCTAAACATGGGGCACAGAAACTCAGCATCCAGGAAGACCCAGCTGTGTTTTCCACGTGTCCTCTCATTTGAGCCATGGAAAGTATCCCTTACAGCTCAGCAAGGAAACACTGTAATGCTTCATGCTTCAGTCATAGGTCTTAAGAGTGTTCAAGAAACTCATTCGAAAAACTGAGTTCTAGGTCACTTCTCATGATTCAACCAAAATTTTGACTTTTAGTAACTGGACACATTATAGAGGAAGAGGTCTATTTCTTGACAGAAAGACAACCAGTTCACTCTTTTAAAAAATTCTACAGACAAAAAAAAAAAAATTATGGAATAGTCTGATGTTGTTCTTTCTTGATTCAGCATTTCTATTCTTATTTAAGTATTCCCATATTTAAACATAATTTTTTAAATCGTGTTTAAATTTTGCTGGTCCAGTATTCTCAAATAGCCTATGACTCACTGGATAGAACTAGAAGGAATTGAGAAATGATAGAAATTGGAAAATTTGATCAACCATGAAAAGTTTTCAGTAGGGAGAGAAAGCTATAATTCCAACAAAAACTCTTAAGCATTTTCAATTAAACAGTAATGGTAATAAATTTTACTATTACAACCATATGAAGAAACAGCGGTTTCTCCCTGTCCCGTCCTCCATTATATCATCCTCCTATCCAACATATGGCCAAATGGCCATCCAGACATGGGCTCCTTTTTTCTGTTTTCCTTGGATTCTTCACTATATCAGAGGCCATCTGTTTTACCTTGAAATGTACTGGCTGAAAGGAAGAGGTGCTTTTCAGGGTGTTGTTTTTAAACTGATAATATGTAGCCCTCAAAATTTCACTCCATGGTTCTGGTCTCACCCTTCAAAGCAACACATAATTCTACTTCTATGGGCCGTTCATTTGAATATTCAAAAGGAAAGCCTTCATCCTCTCTCAGGTTTTAACTTTTGTAGCCAAAACTTCTCCAGCTGCTTCATTTGTATCCAGAGGGCGTGCTTTCAAATCCCTAGTCTTTCTACTTTATGTGTATGATTGTTCTGTCTGTCTGTGCGCCCTGTGCACGCTGGGTGCCCCCACAAGTCAGACATCAGACCCCCTGAAACTGGAGTTCTGGTTGTGAGCCATCTTGTGGGTGCTGGGATATGAAAGCAGGGTCATCGCAAGAGCAACAAACACTCTTAACTGCTGAGCCTTCTCTCCAGCCCCGCTTAAGCCATTTTTATCTCTTCACCTGTCATTATAATCTTACTTTTTTTTTTTTTTTGTAAATTATCTTCAGGTATGTGTTTTATCCAGTTTAGAAAAGAACCAGACAGTATGATTCCATAATGATGCTGAGTTTTTAGGAGGTCACCAGGAAGGCTTACCACACTGCTGACTCACACTGAATCTATTATCTTGCACTTTAAAGCTTTTTTTTTTTTTTATACACAGCTAAAGCTGAAATAGGAGCCTAACAGGAGAGAGAATGAGGATTTGAGGAATCAAATATTCCACATTCTGGATGGATCTCTAAGCATCTCTTAATCCAGGGATTCTCAGCCTTCCTAACACTGTGAACCTCCAACAGTTCCTCATGTGTGGTGACTCCCACCCATTATATTATTTCACTGCTACTTCATAACTGTAGTTTTGTCACTGTTATGAATCGTCGTGCAAATATCTAATATGTAGGATTTCTGTACATGACCACTGTGGAAAGGTCATAGAGTTGACCCACAGGCTGAGAACCGCTGTGTATGGCTGAAATGAAGTCATGCTAGTCTATATTTGATTTTTATCTCTAGTTAAAGAATCATTTTGTGTCACAAATATATACCAGTTGCTGACAGTCTGGATGAGTAGATTCTACTCTGCAGTTCACATTAGAGTCACATTTTTCTCAAAAATTTTACACCAAACCCACTTCTAAACTGAGTATTGGCAGGGAAAGGACTAAAACATGCCTAATTAAGAAAAATTTCTGATGTGATTTTGACCTACATCTATGGTTGACAAGTACTCAATGACTATTTTAGATTCATTTAAAATGTTAAAATCATACCTGCCCTTGAGGTATTTAAAAGCACTTGCACAACTATAGTTAAAACATTTCACCAAGCTATCAGTGTGTATCATCACTTACCTTTCAACACTTGAGTGGCCCAGCGTCCCTGCAGCTCTGAAATAGGCATAATGGCTCCCAAGGGCTGAACCAAGCCAATGATTGCAAGAGTTGGTTTTTCCAGGTTAGGTGGAAAGACCTTTTTATACAAGGACACCTTGTTTTTGACTACTTTGACAGAATCCTCAAGAAAAGGAAAGGCAAAGCTATAGCCTGTGGCAAAGATGACTACATCAATGTCATCCTCCCTGGAGCCATCCTCAAATATGGCGGCCGTTTCCATGAATTCCTTCACATTTCCTTTCACCTTCACCAAGCCAGAAATGATGCGATTTGGCAGCTCATCATTTACTGTTGGATGCTGACTCAGAGCCCTGTAAGTGGTAAGACAGACAAAGAGGTAAGGTGAGAGTGAAGGAGAAGGGGGAAAAATCAGCACGTAAGTAAAATTCTGCTCTTGTGGTAAAAAACACACCAGTCTTTACCCTCCTATCAGGCCAAAGAAGCTGATGAAGTCTTACCATATACCAGCTTGACATAGATCAGGACCTCAGAGTTGGATAGCTTGGAAAAGGAGGGGACTGGAGGAATGAAGGGCAAAGAGTTTTGTCTGAGGACTGTCTAAGCGGTTTCTCAGGTAACAGCAATGTTCTGAGGGATGGTAAGGATGTTGACCAACAGCTTTCAGACAGCTCCCAAGAACTGGCAGAAATAGGCCAGGAACATCATGTTCACGTCCCACTTCCCAATCTAAAGGCCCAAGAGATAGACTTAGCTCATCGCTTTCCAAACCAAACACGCGACATGTATATACGATGTATAGTCTATATGCAGATAGCTTTTCCGTGCACTCCTTTACTTGGCTCTCAGTGTTTACGAAGGAAGAGTGGCAGGTGTCGTTATTCATGGTTTATAGATGAGGCCTGAAGATGTTGAATGACTTCCCAGTGTTACACAGACTATGATCCCAGAATGTCTGTCATAGCGACTTCCCATACTTCTGATGGAGTAAGCAGTGTTGCCTGGGGATAACAGAGGGTAAGGTGCCTGGTGTCTGCTTCCAGATTCTTGAGTCTTCTTTTTTTTTTTTTTAAGACCTGTTTTATTACAGTTACTCTGTACAGATTCTAAGCTTTTTATAAAGATTCTTTGCTACATTCCATCATTTTTTTTTTCATTTCTCCTTTCCAAACTGTTCCTTATCCTTTGTCTCTAAATCAGCTATCTACATAATGGTGCAAATCACAAAACCATTAATACCTTATTTGCCTATAACCTCTGCTGGGTGCTGGGAACTGAGCTTTAGTCCTGTGCAAGAGCAGCAAGCGCTCTTCGGCGCCCAGCCATCTCTTTCCAGCACCATCTATGTGAAAGGCTGCGCAAAGACTTCATTATACAATGTCTTTAGCGGACCTCATACACGTTTTCATGCCTCATGAACCTCAGCATACTCAATATAATATACGAACAGAGACGCCATTATGCAAGTCTGAATTCAGAGATGATCTATAAAATACTTTGCATTGTTTCTTAAAGGTCTATGTTAAAAAAAAAAGAGAATTGGAGGACTTCCCAGATCAGTGGACCAGGGGAGAGGGATAGGGAAGAAGAGGGAGGGAGGGGAGGACTGGGAGGAGATGAGGGACGGGGACTACAACTGGGATACAAAATGAATACATTGTAAATATAATAATAATAACAAAAGAAGTTAAAGAAAAAGAGAATTGGAAGTATAATTTCAGACTAAGAGAAATTATAAATGTCCAACAGACTGCAGTAATGTGACTTTTTTAGAAGGGATAAAAACGTTATAAATAATATTGTTGAGAAAACTGTTGAAACTTTAATATGCCAATATGTTGGGTATATTTATCAATACTAAATTTCCTGACTGTGAAACCTGTATTATGGATATACTAAAGAATGTTCTTTTTCTTGTTGATATATGTGGAAATATTTTATGCAACATGCCTTAATGATTGCAGCTTATTCTCATGTGTTTAAAAAATATGTGTGTACGCTGTGGAGCTATTGATATTTCAACAGGGGACAGCAAGAGAAAGCAAATACAGCCAACTGTTCAAACAGGCAAATCTAGGTGAGAGGTACAGGAGTGGACTTTGTATTTGTTAATTGGGTAACTTTTCTATAGATCCAAACACTTAAACAGGAACCAGCCAAAAGGCAATAAAATGACTCAGCAGGTACATATCTCTTGGAGCAAGACTGATGACCTGCTTGGGATCCCCAGAACCCACACAGTAGAAAGAGGGAGTCATAGCTTGTGACTCTCACAATCTGTGCTCTGGCCCCACATGTATGCCTTGCATGGCTTGTGACCTCCTACCCCACCACAAACAAACAGATAAAATGAAAAGGGCACAGTAAAGCATTTAAAATTAGTCTTTAGACATGGTTTCATAGAAGTTTTAACATTGATTCATTGATTGATTGATTGTATGTGTGAGAAAGAGAGAGTGTGTGTGTGTGTGTGTGTGTCTATGTGTATGTACGTATGTGGTCTTGTATGGCATAGTGGCATATAGAGGTCAGAGGACAACTTGTAGGATTCAGTTCTTTCTTTCCACCATGCAGGTCCTGGGGAATTGAACTCAGGTCATTAAGCTTGGCAGCAAGTGTCTTTACTCTCTGAGCTATCACTGGCCCCAAGTCCATTGTTTATACTGTAATTCCATCCTGTACTCCCACTGTGTCCCATGCTTTGCTGCTACCGCCCCCACCCCAAAGCCCCCTCTCCCCCTGCCATGCATCACAGCACTGGAGACTGAATGCAGACTCTCACTCCTACTAGGCGAGTGGGCTCAACTGTTTCACATGCTTCACCTTTTCTCATTAAGTTGCCCAGGCTGGGCAACTTGAACTGGCCTTGAACTCATCCTGCTCCAGCCTTCCCAATAGCTAGGATTATAGTCCTGCACCATAATGTCTGTACAAATTTTCAAAAATCACATTTGTTAATTTTTCTTCTTATTGGTGTTTTTAAGGGAACATCTGTTTTATAGAATATGCCATTTCTCTTTGTGTTGACCTTGGACAAATTACTTTGTTCTTGTAAGATTAATTTTTTTTTTTTTATACCTAGAAGATGCACATTAAAACAGCCCAGCCTGTGAGGTCGGTGAAAGGTTTGAGCATAGTGTTCATTTAGCTCTGGGCTGGGCTGATAGAAAGTCCTCCAAAAGGTAAAGTGTTCCTGTTTGTGTTGGTGTCACTATTGTGTCTTTTGCCCTCTGTATTTCATGCCCAGTATAATGAATGTCTGGCTCACAGCAGACTTTACCGGTGAATTAACAACTGAGGCATCACCCTCTACTTCTGGGTCTTTGCTGTTGGTAGGTGTAAAGAACTGATACCATGAGAGAACACTGACCATCGGAAGAATAATAAGCTGAAAACCAACAGACCAACAAGTTGGAAAAAGGATTTCTGACTCTAGGGATGTTCTTAATGCCTGGGTAAAGGCAGGTCTACTATGAGCCCATGTCAGCGGTCCTTGTCTCTGTGCCTTGGGCATCTCCAGCCCCACTCCCATCCTGGGAACATACCTGTGTTTAGGCTTCAGGCCAAACAGTTCATGATCAAACCTTTGGTTCATCTGTTTTTCCATGTATCTGTTTCTCAGTGATAAACCAAGGATCTTTGACAAATAGTAGGTAATTCGAGAAGAGAACGTCAGGTCAATAGGATATCCATGATTCCCTACACGGTTCAAGATCCAAGCTCCTCTTCTGGTACTGAGGAATACCTGATACATGGGAAACAATGTTTGTTTTGATCAGCGTATCTCATAGTCCTTCAAAAGCAGCCCCATTCCCCTCAAGCTTAAGTCCAAACTTACTAGTGTTTTAGTTCCATACAGTCTTGTAAGCAAAATACATTGCTGTTTCCTTCCTATACACTCCTATAGTTTAGCTGGTATGTTCACTGTCCATGAATACCCCCCCCCCGTGATCTACTGCTACTTGCTAACATACCCCTTTCTTATAAAGTAGTGGTTCTTAACCTTCCCAATGCTGTGACCCTTCAATACAGCTGCTCATGTTATGGTGTCCCCAAACATAATACACCTTTCTTCCTTCCTTCCTTTCTTCCTTTTTCCCTCCCTCCCTCCCTCCTTTCTTCCTTTCTTTCTTTCTTTCTTTCTTTCTTTCTTTCTTTCTTTCTTTCTTTCTTTCTTTCTTTCTTTCTTTCTTTCGAGTTACTTATTATTTATACAGCAATCTGCCTGCATGTGTGCCATCACACCAGAAGAGGACACCAGATCTCACTATAGATGGTTATGAGCCACTGTGTGGTTGTTGGGAATTGAACTCAGGACCTTTGGAAGAATAGCCAGTACTCTTAACCTCTGAGCCATCTCTCCAGCCCCTAAAAAATTATTTTCATGTCTACTTCATAACTGTAATTTTGCTACTGTTATGAACCATAACGTAAATATCCATGTTTTCTGATGGTCTTAGGTGACCCCTGTGGAAGGTCAATTGACCCCCACAAAGGGGTCAAGGCCCACAGGTTGAGAAAGAACTGCTGTTATAAATCCTCCCAACATCTATGCATTTTTGGGTCTCAGATTAAATCTGACCCCTCCACAAGCATACCCCTGACCTTCCAAGGTGAACGTTTTATCTCCTGAACTTTCCTAGCACCTACAAAGTACTTATTAAAGCTTATTAAAATGGGGCTGGAGACATGGCTTGGTGAGGAAAGCACCGGCTGCCAGGCCTGGCAACCTAAGTTGCACCCCTGGGCCCTAAGTGGTGGAGGGAGAGCCAGCTCCCGAATGTTGTCCTGACCTTGTCTCCATACATGCATTGCTCCATGTGTACTTCTCCTACCCCACACAAAACTAATAACTGTAAAGCAATTTAAAAAACTATAAAACAGTGAAGTTGAAAGTAAGTGCAAATCACCCAACCCAAAACCCTCAGGCATTTTGCCACTGGCATTGTTTTCAGCGTTACAAAAACCTTGTTTATCATTCGCATCATTTATATTACATAATTTATCTTCAATAACCCTGTTAGAAATATCCCAAGTATCCATCTCACTGGTTTGTAAGCTCTTGACTGCTGCCTCTCAGAGCGTGCCTCTGCAGAGCAGAAGGTATAACCTGTGTCCTGTGAGTCTCCGAGCATATCACTGTTACTCCTTATTGATATTTGTGACCTGTAAGTAAGCTGCTGTGACAGGCCCTTCGCACTTACTTAATCAACACAGTAACTCTTAAGGAAGACCCTGCCAGTCCCATTTTATGGATGAGAGATCTGAAGAGAGCAAATGGCACAGCTGGAGGTTATATAGCTAGAGAGTGGCAAAGCTGACTTTCCTGCCAGGTCTGGCTCCCCAGCCTGTATAAGAAATGTCACTGACTGATGAAAACAATGAAGAGTGCTAGAGAACTAGGACACAGTCTTCCTGTGTCCTCTACTGGCAAAGTCCTCGTTCAAAGCTGACTGAAGGCTGATGTTCGCTTACCAGCAAGATTATTACTCTTCTTATTCCACGTCACCCTCTGGAGGTGGTTTTCAGAGCTGCAGATGTGCATTGCTTCAAAGTGTTTGGTCTAAGCTCTCAAGCAGTGAGCTGCCTGTCTGCAGAGGCCTGGCCCTTCCCTCCACACAAAACATTCTCATCAATGCTAACCCAGGGGCTCGCGTAGAAACGCTTCTGCACGTCACAGATGAAAGGACATGTCTGTTTCTAGGAACCAGATGGCTTTGCGTATAAGCTGTACAGCTTTGGACAAGCAAGGTCCGTGCTCAGAGGTGTAGTTAAAAGTCCCTCATTTACTCAACAGCAGTACATACATCTCAAGGTTCTTGTGACAAATGGGGTTTTTGTGAAAGGTGATATACAGGGAGTGCTCAGTAACTGTTCAGTGGCTGTTACAGTTTAGTTTCAGTTTTCCATCTCTACCTGCTTACAATAAGCAACATATTTAGAAATCTTATTTTAAAAGGACCGTGTAAGGAAATCATTTAATCAATATGATCTTGTATCTTTATTGAGTCACTACTTTATTGGCAATAGGTAAATGCCTAACTGTTTTTCAGTAATTGTGATTAAGCTGTTTCTCTACAAATATGCTTCAAATTATTTAAAGAAAAATCCTTAATGTCACAGTGTTGTTAAATATTTACTCAGCAACTCCACCCAAGTTGTGCCTCTTCTTAGTACCGTTTCCACGTCTAACCATGAAGGTGATTTCCTATGTCACCCCATGAGTTAATTCTATACTTAATAGGAAACCAAAAAAAAAAAAAAAAAAAAAAAAAAAAGGATATTTCTCTCCACAAAAACATTATGCTGGGTTGGAGAGAGGCTCAGCGGTTAAGAACGCTTCCTGCTCTTGCAGAGGGCCCAGATTCAGCACCCAGCACCAGGGTGGGGGCTCACAGTCACCTGTGGCTCCAGCTTCATCAGAAGAATCTGATGCCTCTGTCTCTATGTGAACACACACACACACACGCTCACACCCATGCACACACTCACGCACACACACACAAACACACACTAAAATAAAAACAAATCTTTAAAGAGCATTATATCAAACTTCCTTGACACATTGAAATCCATAGGTCCATTTGAAAATTTTGATTTATAGGATATATATGAAGCATCAAACCTAAAGCTGCAACTTGGGCAGTGCACAAGTCACATGTGTTTGCTGCTGGCCTGGGGGGAACATGTATAGGTGTTTATGTTCTTTGCTGGGCCTCCTTCCTTGGTAAGAGTGGAGCAATGTACAGCAATTATTGATGCAAACCTGCTTGGCTGTGTGGCTGATCTCGACAGCCAGATCCCCTCCAGAATTCCCAATGCCGATTACAATCACCCTTTTCCCAGTGAAGTCTACTGGGTTCTTATACTCTCGACTGTGGAAGTACTTCCCTTTGAACTTTTCAATTCCTATAAGAGAAGAAACAATTATTGGGGGATGGATTGTATGAAGAATTTTATTTGTGAAACCATGTGTTTTATTTTCTTTTGTGGCATTTAAAGTTTAAACTTATATTTTTCACATTCTCCACATTATTAAGCAGCTTTCTTGCCTTTCTAAAGAGTTTTGCTTCTTTTATCCTCTCGTTCCCTTTGTGATTTCCATGTCATAAATCATTCACATTTTTAATTTGCAGACACAGTCCAGACAGCCTCAGAAAACCTCCATTCTCCTGTATCTTTTCAACCTCCCATTTTAATGTGTATATGAGGCCTATGTAGAATACATTTTTAAAGGTAAAAGTCCAGGCCAGAAACATAAAATGAAATGCTCTAAGCTTTTGGTCTATTCTTAGAAACTCAGTATTTCCTTTTTTTTTTTTTTCTTCCTCAATTGATGAAAACTTTCTAATTCCAATTAGCTCAAATCAAGAACTTCGGCTTTCCTTTTGGTCCTTAGGAAAACACAGTCACGAAGAGTTTAAATAGTCATGTCCTACCTGACAGGATACAATCATTCTAAGATGCATATTGAAAATGGATTTCATCATTGGACAGATACCATGTACATCTAGATGGCACAGGCCAGTAAACATGCCTGTGTGAGGCTGTTGTCAGGATAATAGAGTCTACGACTCTATAGCACACTTTCTAAATGGATAGGATTACACCAAGTATAGCCCTGGAAGAATATAACCAGCAAGTTACTTATGACCCAGAATTACGCAGTTATCACTGCCCATGTTGCCATTTTAGTAACCCGACAGTATGGTACACTGGGATACACCAGCATCACCACACACAGCGTTTTGTGCTTCAGATCACAATGGCTAAGCCCTTACCAGACAACAGGGAAACTGCTTTCCAGTATTACAGGGCTAGTACTGTATAGGTAGTCGTTCACTGACAAAAATGACATTTGTGGCTCGTGACAATAGATACACCTCTGATTTTCCTCTAGTCTTCCAAACTGTTGATGTTTCCACTTCCAAAATGGCAGTAATACAGATTCCCCTGACATCTTCAGGGGAATGGATTTAATTGGGGCAGGAGTTTATTTTTAAGCCCCACAGTAAGAATGGCTCAGCCCTCCTCTCTCCTGTCCCTCAGGGGTCCTACCACAGTCATGGCTGCAGCGTCTTCCCTCCTGGTGGGCTACTCACCAGGAAAGCTCTCCAGGGGTAGGTGAGGATTGGTGTGATGGCCTGTGCACACCATGACTCCATCGAAGACATCTACCTGCCTTTTCCCTTCACACTCGGTGACCACCTGCCATTGGCCTGATGTAGAGAAGTCAGGTTGCTTCTTCACACTGCACACTGTGGTCTGAAAAGTGACAAGGACCTGTAACCACGGCCTATAGAGTAAATGTCTTCCATGACACACCTCCCTCCAGGGTGCTAGCCAAAGGGCTGCCACAGGCACCATCACTTATAGGGCCTCTGTGAGGATATCTGAGTCACATAGTCCCAGACGTCAACACGGCAGGCTATAAAACCAGGCAGGCAATCTAATACACTGCTCTCTGCTCCTAGAACAAGTAGAAATTGCTGGGTCTCTTGGCCTATGGCCGTAAGGCTCTGCAGTCCTGGAGTAAAACCAGGGGATTCATAAACATTACTGACATATGCATTCATGGCCCGTTCCTTCTCCATTCCCTGATATCCCCACCTTTATGTCTGCTTCTCCCAGTCCTGTTCACAATGGCTGGTCTTAAACATATGGCTAAGATACAGGTCTCCCTTTTAAATTGGCCCTTGTTATATGTATTGCTCATTTTACAAGCAACTCTAAAGAGGCTGTGAGTTGAGATGGTTGGTGGCATAATGTTTAGCTTTGTAAAAATAAACAAACAAACAAACAAACAAATAAATAAATAAATGTGAGTTCCTCTGCAGAGCATTTATACACCAAGAATGTGTTCCGATGTACTTCTGAAGCCTCGGCCACAGTGTCTCAGTGACTGAGAGAGAGGCCACCTAGCTCTGCCATCTTCTCTCTATCATGAGCATTTACTGGGCTGGGCTTCTGCTCAGACCACAGTGGCCTTGTTCCTTCTTCACTTGGCAGACTGCTAGTCATCCTTCAAGATTCAGCCCAGACCTAATCTGCTCTAAACTCACTCTTCCCTGAAGATTGGCAGCTCATGTCCTCATGCGTTGACCTCCTCTGAGCAGCAACGGGGAGTTCTCCTCAGCATGAGCCTCTTCATTTTTATTAATTCTATATATAATGTAATTGTCTGGTATTTGTTTTTGTCTTGCATTTTTACTGCTTAGCCTAGAGTCAAGGTTATTAAAAAAGTATCTCTCTTAAACAAAGGGTAATCAATCTATGGGCTGCAAATTGCCTGGCTTTGGAAGTTGTCATTGAGTGTTATGTTAGTCATAATTTAGCAGAAGAGTCAGGTGAAGATTTGGGCTTTTGCCAGATGTCATAAATATGAGTTATTTTTTTATGGCCATCATGCCAAAGTATAGAACATGGCAGAAAAATCTCAAAGAAAGAAGGAACTAGAAAAATATTGGATGATGGGGTTGTTTTATAAGCAAGGGAATGTATAGAAATTGCCAGTGAGCAACTCACTTGTGGAAGAGTAGAGGTCAGACCAAGGAGCGCAACTCAAGGACCGCCCCCTCACTCAGTGCTCTTCCCCTCGCAGATCTGCTGCCCCACTGGCTTGCCAACCACTTCACCAGGTCGTTGTGACACAGGAGATAGCATATTGGAAAGTGTAAAGGAGCTAAGTGATAGTGGTCCAGGAGATTTTAAAGTTCTGACCCCTACCAGGCCCCCTCATCAGTTTTTTATTAAACTCAGCATAAAATGGAGGCAAGGTAAATGGCTTAGCCGGTGACTTCCTGTGTCTGCAGACAAAAATGTATATAATGGAGACCTTTCCTTGAACACTTCCCAAGTACCAAGAGGACAAGAGTAGAGTTTTTGGAGACTATTTCAAGTCAGTCTTGTCAGATAACGCAGGTAAATGAACCTAGGTTATTCACTGACCTGATAAACAATTTCAAACGGGAAGAAAACCAAATCTCTTACCTTGAACTGGATATATTTTAGAAGGTCGAATTCTTTGGCATACATCCGGAAATACTCTAGGACCTGGGAGTTGTGCATGTAGTTAGGGTAATGATCAGGGATTGGATAGTCACTGAAACACATCATCTCCTTAGAAGTATTGATGACCACTGACTTGTAAATACTGGCCCTTCCTTCTTCAGGCGTTTCCTGTGTCAAATAAGAAGTATTTACGGCAACTCGAGAATGAACTTCATGATTTATGAGTATGCAATGAGCATTTAAAAAGTTATCTGAGTGAAAGTTATTTCAACCAACACACACATACACGCACACTTCCACACCTCCCAAAATCTGAATCTCTTGTAGTCATTTCTTGGCTCTTGAAACAGAATTGTCTTTCTAACTTTCTTTTAACCAGAAGCATCCAGCGGACATGACATTGAGTACCATCCAAGACCAAATCATACGTCACCCTGCAGTACCTGCCTAAGACACTTAGCAGGCTCACTCTGGTAGAAGCCAAAACCCATACAAGAAGTCCAGCTCTCCTGAGGCCACCGCACTGTTAGGAAGGCTGGCCTTGGCCCATGAAGAGGACATCTGAAGCTTGGAGTTTCAGATCCAGCACTGCGCCCCCCGCACCCCCAGAACTCTAGCCGTTACTACTGAAGTTCTAAGCACGTGAAGGGGTCGGTCTCAGCTGTCATCTGATTATGACACACGAGATCCCAAGTGAGTCCTGCCCAGCTCAGTGGGTAAGTCTTTGGAGTTTTCACATACGTTGCTGTACCACCAGAAAACACTGTGCCACATACAAAGCCAGGCGTGAGGCTTTGGGGCTGGTGGGATCAGCAGGTAAAAGCCCCTGCTGCTCTTGCAGAGGATCCAGATTCAGTTCCCACCACTCACATGGAAGCTCACAATCGTTTGGAACCTCCGTTCCAGAAGACCGGATGCCCTCTTCTGGCCTCTGCATGCATAAAAAAAAAAAAAAAAGACAGGTGTGCTGGTACATATTTGCAAACCCAGTAACGAGAAGGGGAAAATCTCTGGAGCTTACTGGCTTCTCCTAACCAGCAAGCCACAGGTCCCAATGAGAAACACCGTCTCAAAAGGAAATAAATAAGAATAAAGGAGGATGGGAGGATGCATGCACAGACATGTGATTGTGTACCTGAACATGAACACACTCACACATCACACTTATACCTATAAATTTAAAACCTAAGTAATAACATTAAAAGTAGCCTGCTATCACTTTACATGAAAAAGTTATATGTACCATGAAACTAAACGTACATCCTACTCATCTAGTGTATATTACATATACCCATGTTTACATAATTACGTATTGTATAATTGCTCCCTTGTTTAACATAGATATCAGCAAATGGACTCTAGAGACTGCTGGAAATAGCCAATAGACCTTAGGCATGGCCGGCCACAGTAGCTTTCTTCCCAAGGCAGAAAAGCTGAACTTTACACCTGGCAAGCCTGACAAGCTACACTCTAAGTTATAACACAAACAGTGTCAACCTTGACCTGGTAAACTGAGAGCAAAAATCCACCTCCAGGATCATGCTCCCTGAACTGAAAAAGCTCAGGCTAGCCATGAGGAAAACGCCAGACAAATTCAAAGGAGGATATTCAACAAAGTACCCAACCAGTCCTCCTCAAACCTGCCAAGGATAACAAAACCAAGAAAGAAAAGCTTCCTTAGGTTTTAGTATGTTTATCTTATATTATATGTCTAATATCCACTTATAAGTGAGTATATACCATGTGTGTCTTTCTGCTTCTGGGATACCTCACTCAGGATAATCTTTTCTAGATTCCACCATTTGCCTGCAAATTTCATGATTTCTTTGTTTCAAATTGCTGAGTAGTATTCCTTTGTGTAAATGTACCATAATTTCTGTATCCATTACTCAACTGAAGGACATCTGGGCTGTTTCCAGCTTCTGGCTATTACGAATAAAGTTGCTACAAACATGGTTGAGCAAATGTCCTTGCTGTATACTTGAGCCTCTTTTGGATATATGCGTAGGAATGATATAGCTGGATCTTGAGGAAGCACTATTCCTAATTGTCTGAGAAAGTGCCAGATTGATTTCCAAAGTGGTTGTACAAGTTTACATTCCCACCAGCAATCAAGAAGGAGGACCCTGGTAAGAAGCCTAATCTTCTTTTAGAAAGGCAAACGAGATGGACATCAGAAGAGGGAGAAAACAGGGAACAGAAGCCTATCACAGAGGGTCTCTGAAAGACTCCACCCAGCAGGGTATCAAAACATATACTGGGATTCATAGCTAAACTTTGGGCAGAGTGCAGGGAATCTTATAAAAGAAGGGGGAGATAGAAAGACCTGCAGGGAACAGGAACTCCACAAGGAGAGCAACAGAACCAAAAAATCTGGACACAGGGGTCTTTTCTGAGACTGATACTCCAACCAAGGACTATGCATAGAGATAACATAGAACCCCTGCACAGAAGTAGCCCATGACAGCTCAGTGTCCAAGAGGGGTCCCCAATAATAGGATAAAAGGGACTGTCTCTGACATGAACTCATGGGCTGGCTCTTTGATGACCTCCCCGTGAGGGGGGAACAGCCTTACCAGTCCACAGAGGAAGACAATGTAGCCAGTCCTGATGAGACCTGATAGACTAGGGTCAGATGGAAGGGGAGGAGAATCTCCCCTATTATTGGATTGGGGGAGAGGCATAGGAGAAGAAGAGGGAGGGAGGGTGGGGTTGGGAGGGGATAGGGGAGAGGGGAGAGGGATACAGCTGGGATACAAATCGAATAAACTGTAATTAATAAAAATTAAAAAAATAATCACATGATGAGTTTAAAGAATAAAAAAAAGAGAGAGAAAGAAAGGAAAGCATGCAAAACAAGAGCATCTAAGGAATCACCATAGCCAGAGGAGCCTAGAGATACACAACTATTAAATATTATGGGAATCCTGAAATAGGGGGGAAAAAAGGCATCAGAAGAACTAAGTAAATCAAAGCCAAGCATGGGCTGATGGGCATTGGATCACTGACTATGAAAAACGTGTCATTCTAGTGTGACATGCTAACAGTAGAGGAACTAGGCAAGGTCAAGTGCTGGGGTTGCAGCTGTGAGCTACCATGCCTGAGGAAAACTCATTAAATGAGCATCGGAAAGCATCAGTCTGTAACAGGAAGGAGGCAATACTAGTTTGGCAGGTGAAGCAAGAAAAAGGACAGAGATGGGAAAACACAAATGATGGTATCTGGAAGGATATTTATACAGCAGGTAAAAGAATGAGGACTTGGAAAATATAAGCAGGAAAGAAAACATCTGAATCTCAGGGACTCATCACTAAAAAGGGAACTGCAATGCTCTTAACTGGATACTCGGTGCCGTGGTAGAATCCCAAAGTGCTGGGATTAGGTCTATAGAAGATGTCTACAATTAGTTGACCAAGTCACTTAAAGCTGATGACATTGAGAGAAGGCCAGCAAGGCTACAAATAAGCAAGGAAGTGACAGAAATAGATTTCAATAGAGGACTTCTCAGCAACACTACAAATATGTGAAAATGCCTAGTAAACTATGAGTGTCCACAACCTGAGTGTCCACAGCTATGAGGGAGACACCAGGACAGTATGCTGCTCAAAGACTCATCGTCAGGAGCCATGGTGCAGCTATCTTAGAATGCTGCTGTTAATTCAGCTTCACCTTTGGCCAAGTTAAACTTGTTTATCTTCCATCAGGCTGTTTGTGCAAAGAAACTGTCGGTTCAGAGTGAATGTTTCAGGAATTTGTGACATTAGTCACAAGGTAGTTGGCAGACCAAATTAAGGAACTTGGAGCTAATTTTTACTCTTTGTCCTCATACGTAGCATGATGTGCTTGTTGTAAGCTGTTCTTTAGTATATAAGGAGCTTGGAGAAAAATGAAATTGGCTTCATATCTCATGAAGTCCTGAGTGTGCTTATTTCATTCTTGGCTTCTTTTAATCCTCACTTCCCTGGTTGTGATCTCCGTTGACTGACTGCATGGGCTTGGTCAACTTATACATGTATGCATGTTTGTATGCATGCATGTATGTATGTATGTTTTTGAGATAGAGTCACACTGTGTATCTCTGGCTGGCTAGAACTCCCTATGTATATCAGGATAACCTCAAACTCACAGAGATCTGCCTGCCTGTGCCTCCCAAGTGCTGAGATAAAGGATGTGGGCCTTTACACTTGGTTCAGGAACTGACTTAAACTTAAGTATAGTGGTAAGCCAATACATGCCAGGCATCATGAGTGGCTGAGCCACGCAGATGTGGCTGATCTGACAGATGCTGGGGCATTATGACGAGACACGGCTTACTGATTTTCATAAGGTGGCAAATTCTGCCAAAAGGACAATCAGAAAAAAAAAATGTCATTAGGTCTTTAGACGACAATCACTTCAAGCCTCTTTAGCAATAAAAATCCTGAGCCTGGTAGTCTGGCATGGTGCCTGCCCTCCTCCCTTAATGTTGATTTCATGCTTGTCTGGGAATTTGCATAGGGTTCCAGTGAAGCCTAGTGACTAGAGGAGAGAGCTAGTGGCAGGAGAAAAAGTTGAGGAATTGGGCCTTCTCTTCCAGGGAATGAAACGTTTAAAGTGACAGGCAATCTTGCTTTCACATTCTGATTAAGGACTAGGATTGTCAGGGTTACCTTAAGTGAGAATGAAATGAGTGTGTGTGTGTGTGTGTGTGTGTGTGTGTGTGTGTGTGTGTGTGCACCAGCATGCATGTGCAGTTCATGTAGAGGCCAAAGGTCGATGTTGGGTGTTCTTAATTGCTCCCACCTTAGGAATTTGGGATAGGGCACTTTACTGAGCCTGACCTGGGAAGACTGGCTTGCTGTAGCCTGGAAATCTCTGGAGTCCCCCTCTCTCTGCATCCCTATAGTTGAGACTACAACTACTGCTTCACTAGGCTTCTTTTCTTTTCCTTCCTTCCTTCCTTCCTTCCCCTCCCTCCCTCCCCCCCTCCCTCCATCCCTCCCTGGTCTCTTCCTTCTTTCCAGTGCTAGGGATGGAACTCGGGTTTTCCTACTCCTGCAGCAAGCACTTTGCATTTTCTAGAAAAGCCATCTCCTGGGATTTTTTTTTTTTTAAGATTTATTTTTTCTTTTATATGTGCGAGTGTTTTGCCTACGTGCATTTGTGTGTGTGTGTGTGTGTGTGTGTGTGTGTGTGTGTGTCTGATGAGGTCAGAAGAGGAAGTCAGATGCCCTGGAGCTGCGCTTACAGCGCTTGTAAGCGGTCCTGTGAGAACCGAGCACTGAATTCGAGTCCTCTGAAAGAATAGCTGCTCTTACAGGCTGTGCCATCTCTCCAGCCCCATTCCAGGAAGGTGTTGCAATCGGATGATTGGCTCATTATCTACTGTCACAGATCTCGGGAGCAAGTGGGGAACTTTTAATGTTTGCGACGTCAACACTTGGCAGATTGTTTCCCATTTCTGAAAAGCAACGAAATTCAGAAACACACAAGCAAACAAAAGCCCTGGTCTGTGCGTCGCTTTCGTGGAAACAGAAAAAAAAAAAAAAGAAATAAGCGGCATCTGTGTAGCACTTAGCAAGCAGCCTAGAGAAAGGAACGGCCTAAAGTCTGAAGTGACAGCTTCCAGGGCTGTGTTCAAGTCACAGCCTTGCCTTCCTTATTCCGAGTACAGGATAGTACAAGTTGTACAGGAGTCCTTCGACTCTTGGGGGCTCGGGAGATTTACCTGGAACCTCCACAGTCCTCCGATGTCGCCAGACCTTTCGAAGCAGACAGGCTCCAAGCCTTCCTCCAGGCAGCACTTGATGCAGGTGAGTCCACTCGCTCCGGATCCGATGACAGCGACCCTTCTCTTGGCCATGCTCGCCCAAGTGCTTCGCCGACTGGGCCAGGGTCACGTATCCTAAAGAAAGAACGACAGGACGGAGTGAACACACATCATGCCCCTGAAAGACCTGGGTGGTAGCACGCAAACAAAACGTAACGAGGTACCGCGGCGACGTACCGGCTCGGAGTACCAGCCCCGGGTTAGGCTCACCCTACAGGTTAGCAGTGTCTCAGATAAACACAGCCGTGGCCAATGGGGAGGGGCTGGACCGTCCCACCTCCTATCCCGCCCACCCAAGGGCGTGCACTCTCCTTTCGTAAACGCAAAGGAGCCGGCTCTACACACTTTGGGAAGAAAAGAGTATTGCATGCGTTTTAATCTATAGCTTTTCAGCAGCACCCGCCTAGGGAGAGCGGACCTCCAGTTCCATCCCTTACCACTTTTAGTGTCCATTTCCAACTTCCTGCTTTTGTTCTAAGTGATAAAGGCCTGCCAAACTCGGCCCTTCTGAAGCAAACCTCGCTCCAACGGGCCTTGGAGGACTCTTTGCGACGAACACATCTGTGCCTGAAATGGGGATTGGGAAGCATGTTTTTTGGAGGGAGCTAGCTTTCTAGTGATTTTAAGCAATGCAAGTAAACACGGTATTAGTAATAAGCACTAGTAATAAACAGTATAGTTCGCTAACACAATAAATATTATATTCGGCCCTTCAATTGCTCATGCATTCTTCTACTATATTCTTTCCCCTCTTACTATTTGTTCACTTACGCGTCAGCCTCACCACAAGGGGCTCTCTGGTCTGTTTGAGTCTCTATCAGGAACCACAACTAAAAGACGTAATGGGGCTTCCCTAGTCAGTTTCTGCTCAATGCTTGAGAGGATGTTAACTCCTGTTATTTGTACTTTACTTAAGAGCCTTACCCTAAGTAAGAAAGTGAATGAATGAATGAATGAATGAATGAATGAATGAATGAATGGTTAGATCACTCTACCAGGATTCTATTGAAACTCCAGTTAAATGATTTAATGGGGCTTCCCCAGTTGATTTCCCTAGGATACATATATTTTTTAATATTAGTTACAATTTATTAACCTTGTAGCCCTGCTGTATCCAACTCCCTCATTCCCTCCCAATCCCACCCTCCCTCCCTCATCTCCTCCCTGACCCTATCCAAGTCCTTTGATAGGGGAGGACCTCCTCCCCTTTCATCTGACCCTGGTTTATCAGGTATCTTCAGGACTGGCTGCAAAGTCCTCCTCTGTGGCCTGGCAGGGCTGCTCCTCCCTTGGGGGAGGAGGGGTAGGTCAAAGAGCCATCCACTGAGTTCAGGTCAGAAACAGTCCCTGTTCCCCTTACTAGGGAACCCACTTGGATACTGAGCTGCCATGGGCTACATCTGAGCAGAGGTTCTAGGTTATATCCATGCATGGTCCTTGGTTGGAGAAACAGTCTCATAAAAGACCCCTGTGCCCAGATATATTTGGTTCTTGTAGAGCTCCTGTCCTTTCAAGATCATATTAACTTCCCCTTTTTTCTTATGATTCCCTGTACTCTGCTGAAGGTTTGGTTATGAGTCTTAGTATCTGCTTTGATACACTGCTAGGTAGTCTTTCAGAGGCCCTCTGCAGTAGGCTCCTGTCCTGCCCAGGAGATATTTTAAGCTCCCACTTTCACAATGTTTTATTATCATTTATTTCTCCCATTTGCTATTCATTCTTTCCCTTCAGCTTACTACTGTGGTAGTTTGAGAGAGAACGGCCCCCATGGACTCATACATTTGAATGTATGGTCCATAGCTCCTAGAACTGTCTGAGGAGGGGTTAGGAGGTGTGGCCTTGTTGGAGGGACTGCATCAATGGACCTCAGGTTTCAAAACCTCTAGGACCAGTCTCTCTCTCATTCTGCTATATGTTTGTTGATCAAATACAAGCCCTTGGTTACTACTCTAGAGCCATGCCTAGTTGCCTGCCATGCGCCCTGCCAGGATGCCCATGGACTCATCCTTTGAAACCATGGCAAGCTCCCCGGTTAAACACTTTCTTTTATAGCTGCCTTGGTCCTGGTGTCTGTTCACAGCAGGAGAACAGTGACTAAGACAGCTGTGCATCTGGCGAACTCATTCAAAACCAGGCATGACTGTCATAAATCATTTTCCGTCACACAGAACACAACTGGCCCAGTCTCAGGATATGTGAGATGCCAAAGATCTTTAAACGTTTACCCCACCATTGCAGTTCTAGACACTGAAGACATTTACCCTCCTTATTCTCACAGTGAACATGCGGGGCACCAGGTGCTGGTGGACACACCATTGCCCCTCCGTCACCAGTCTTATCATCACCCCATACGGCAGCTTTCACTTCTCATGAGTCCCTTCCTTAGACCAGATATAGCATCCTACAGATTTGACAACACGCGTACAGGTAATATTGATTTGCTACCTTATGCCACGTATGTAGTTCAGATTCAACCTTTCTTTACCAAAAAAAAAAAAAAAAAAAAGGAAAGAAAACAAAATTAAAAACAGTATGTAGACAAGACAGGTGTTGAAGGGTAAACATAGGAAACTGCTTTTTGATGAAAAGGGTAAAATGTTTTAAGTAAAGGTAAATTTTATATAATAAGATTTTTGTCTTAAGAATTAAAAATAAAAAAGCTCCCTCAAAAGTATAAAGCCAATTCACAGAAAACCTGGGTCATACAAGGCTTATAGAGGATGAAACTTAAGGATAAGACATGGTTAATGATTAAAGGTTATTACAATCCCTAAGGTCATATTGATCTATGAAGGATAACATTCACAAAAAAACTGACTTAAAATATAAAAATATATGCCAAATAATGATAATTACTTTTTGTTTACTAAATTTGTTAGGCTTTTAACCACTTGTGTAAACAGACCAACAACAGCAAAAATCAAGATTTTTTTTTAAGTCAAAGATTTATTAAATATTACACAAAAGTTAAAAGTACAAACTGATAAAACCATCTGAGTCTTCAACTGCTAAAGCTTACAGGCTTACACCAAAGAAGATGAGTCACTCCAAAAGGACAGCTGATAGACTGACCCTTCACCTCCAGAATCAACCAAGACCCAGGGAACTATGGGGCCTCTTGTAAGTCACTTGTTCTCTTGATTAGGAAGGTCATGGAGTCTCCAAAGACTGGACTTTAACCAGTATGAGTACTATAGGGAAAATTGTCAATACGGAGGGAAATGTTCTCTAATATGATACCCACCTAAGAGTACTTAAGTACTTGAGAGTAAGCCCTGAAAGTCTCAACTAACTTTTAAAAAGTTTATCCATGGCTCTCTATATGGTCTTAAGCACACCCACCGAGATAACCACTTTTAGTTAATTGAAAGAGACTGAAGAGCTTAAGATAGCCTGAATATAACTCCATTTTGAAATAAAGATCTTGACTGGGAACTGAATTCAGGTACCAGGAAATATCACAGAATATACACGTGGCAGAAAACAAAGTTAACTCTCCTAGCAACAGCCTCTAGGAAATATAACAGAATAAATGCTTCATAGAAAATAGAGACAAACTCCCTGGCAATAATCAATGGGAATTGGTTGAGAATCGGGTGAGAAAATTCTCCCCAATGTTTCAGATATGGTTTAGAAAAATAGCCATTGTGATTATATGCCTTAGCCATTGTGATTGTGTGCCTCAGAAAAGGTCACCCCGCCCTACTAAACTTCACCCAATTCTGTAACGCCAAGGCTTGTGCCCCCCCCTGCTTGCTGCCATGGAAACCCCCTGCTCACAGACTTTCCCTTTAAAAATCCTGTTCACTCAGAGCTCGGGGTTCCACTTCTCTACTGCTGCGCCAGTGATTCTTGGTTGATTCTGGAGGTGAAGGGTCAGTCTATCAGCTGTCCTTTTGGAGTGACTCATCTTCTTTGGTGTAAGCCTGTAACCTTTAGCAGTTGAAGACTCAGATGGTTTTATCAGTTTGTACTTTTAACTTTTGTGTAATATTTAATAAATCTTTGATTTAAAAAAAAATCTTGATTTTTGCTGTTGTTGGTCTGTTTACACAAGTGGTTAAAAGCCTAACAAATTGGGTCCCGAGTTCGATCGCTTTCGTAATAAAGCTCTCTTGCAATTGCATCGAGTTGTCTCCTGGTGGTCTCTGAGAGTCCCGTGAACCTGGCATAACAAGACAATCTGTCAAATTCCATAAAGTTATCAGCTGCGTTCGCTTGTCCAAAATTACACCCTATTCTCCAAAATCCACTCAAAATAAAAATCAAAAAGACCCACTGAAACACCAGATGAGCTAAACACACTTTGTCTTCAAAAGTTACACTCCCCCTCAAAATGGGTTTTCTTGGGGCCCTCTGTGGATCGGAGGTTCAAACTGTTTCAGTTCCTAAGGTCTCCTCAGTTAGTTTCTACTAAATGGTGTAAATGCCTCACCGATGTCTTCCTGCTGCCTCCTCACCGATGTCTTCCTGCTGCCTCCTCACGGATGTCTTCCTGCTGCCTCCTCACCGATGTCTTCCTGCTGCCTCCTCTACACCCAATACATTCCTGCCAACACCAAAACTATCACAAGTTGATTTTTCCACACGAAACACCAACCTACATGAATTATGACTTTTACCAACCAGAAAATGTCAGGTAACATGCGACTTGTTGACAGTAGCAAGCAAGACCAAAAAGTTTCTATAAATAATCCAATAACATACTGAAAATGAGGAAAATAATATATTCTGAAAGTCACAGAACATGATGTATTGTAGTACCAAACAGAGTATTAATACTGTGAAGATGATCAAGTCTTCCTCCATTCCTCTAACATTGTTTAGTAATGACAAGTCAGCCTTGCCAAAATTCCAGTTGGATTTTTTTAAATGTACCTTGATGATTTGATTATCAAATTTACACAGAAGATTTGAGAAAAATGTCTTAAAATATTTTTAAAGCGAAAACTTAAAAAAAAAAATTCTCAAAGCAACCTACACCATGTGAAACTATGTGATATCGGTGTGGAGAAAGTCAAGCAGATCTTAAAACTGTTGAGAACATATTCTTGTATCAGGGAATTTAGTCAGCGGTAAAGGTGTCACTTCAAATCCCTGGGATAAAAGATGTTTGTTCCCTATTTGGGAAATAAATTAGATTCTGATTTCATAACGAATAAAAATTAACCCCAGAGACAAATGTTTAAAGCAAAACCCCTAGATAAATAACTAAGAAAATACTGATGTACTAAGAAGCTTTTCTTACTAAAAGATAAAATCCCATAACTATGAAAACACAGAAATTCAAATTTCTACACACATGGCACATTTAACAAGGTGTAATTTGACAAATATCATAATTTTCTACCTGGAAATGTATTTAACAAAGGGTTAACATCTAAAATGTTTGATCTTTAACAAAGGAGTGCAACAGAGAAAGTGAAGTACATGAATAACCACTTAAAAAAAAAGCTGATCAACCAGTTAATAAAATAATATTCAATCAGATAAGCAGCCAAAGAAATTTTAGACCATGAGATATACATCACCAAAATATTGCAAAACAAAAGATTGGTTCTGTTCAGAACTGAGAATCGGACATGGGCAGGCCCACTCGGCATGAGTGGAGAGGAATGCTTTCCTGGAAAACAACTTGCCAGCGTTTATCTGAACTGTAAGCTCCATTTGCTCATCAATTCCCCTGCAAGATTCCTGCAGAAATAGTCGCACGTATTTATGAGCAAAACCGTACGTCACTCCCTGCGAGTGAGCTAGAGCCTAGCCGCAACCATCAGCTTACGTGGACTCTACCGCTAAGTAGTTTTCGGAAGGTCTACATTTTTTTTTTCATTCATTTTACCACCTCTGAAGTGAGAAGTAAGAGCCCATTGAGATGGCTCAGTGGGTAAAAGCTTTCACGGACAAGCCTGACCACCTGGGGTCAATCCCTGGGACCTGCACGGCAGACGGAGAGAACCGATTTGACATATGCGCATGCTCATAAAGTAAATAAATATACGAATAAATGTATGTGTGTGTGCAAACACCCTTGTAAATACGAAATATAATAATACCTACCAGAATGGAATACATGAGCTGCTAGGTAGCCAGTTTGGCACTAGTAGTGAAAAATCTGAAGTGGTTCCATATGTGTTGAATCCGGGAAGGACTCTATTATCGTGTAGTCAGTATATCATACTACAGAGATATACGTATATGTATATACACCTTTTTAGTGAGACAATCTCTACTGGCATAGGAAAGTTTTAACTAGCAAATCCCTAACTGGATTTGGATAGTTTTCATGGCAGAAGGTAGGGACTATCTAAGTTAGCATATTTAAAACTTCAACTCATGCTACCATAAAACTGATGCATGGCTCCAGGGATGGGCCTGACTGGGGGTGAGGAAGGAATGAAGAAATGACAGAAAAACTGGGTCCGAGAGGACTCGCTCTCGCATGGAGAAACCACAGCACCCCAGAAGCCCAGCATGTTCACTATATAGAACTGGATAGAGAGGTGATAGCATACAGGTGCACAAGGGAGCGGGGGCGTAAGGTGAGCGGCTAGATCCAGGGGTCGAGGTGTAGCCGGTGTTTGTCGGTAGGAGCAGTCTCCGTGGAGGAGCAGCTGTCAGGCCATTCATAAGCAGAGGGAGGAAGCTTCTGTGGACATTTTCTGCACGCATCTTAACATCCACACATGGACCATAAGGAAAGAAAGGAAGGGAAGGCGTTGCCATTTTCCCATGGGTCTGAGGCTTAGGGGTCCTTGACATGGCTGTGCCTATGTCACCAACCAGCATTCACTCGGGATTTCATTCACTTACTTCATCCCTCTGCTCCCCAAATACAATATATCCATCCATCCATTTGCATTACAAAAACCAAGTCCATGGGCGCTTCCCACTGGAAAACACTTGAAGTCATTGAAGTCACCAGTAAGGACTTGGATACTCAGTCATATTACAGAGGAGAATGTGGGGAAGAGGTGAATGTGCACACCTTTAATCCCAGCACTCGGGAGTTCCAGGAAACCAGAGCTGCACAGAGAAACCCTGTCTTGGAAAAATAAAAACCCAAAAACAAAAAGCGAGGGATAAGAAACCTGGCTATCCATAACCCCATGATCGTGTGTGTGCATGCGTTTGTGTGTGTCCACATCTACAGGCTAGGAAAACAGGCAAACTACTATCTCTCTGGATGGCCACACACACAGTTAATGAGATCCCCACTGAACCTCAACAATGAGGGATAACTTTTGATTGCAACGTCTTCACTGGTGAAATTCAGATACTGTGTGATTCTCAAAAGTCTTTGGGTCCCTCACAATATCCTTGGTCATTCAAATTCACATTTAGTTTCTTATAAACCAATTTCCACCTTATACAATAGGTAACATTATTTCTCCTCATTTAAATGACTTTGACACAGAAGCTCTTTGAAGCACTTTCTGATCACTAGAACTGCCTGATTATGGAGATTATAGTACACGGTATCTCTGGACAGTCTGTGGGGTTAAAGATGGAGGAGTCCCTGGGCTCCACATTCCAGTTGTGTCTTAGGGTCTTGAGCACATGTGTACCAGGTGTGTTCATTTTTCAAGCCTAAGATTCAGGCTTTATGGGGTAAAGGCATAAGATATCTTTGGGTTCCTGCCAATGAGGAAAAAGAAAAGGAATGTTGGAAGACTCCTTAAGGAATGTTGGAAGACTCCTTAAGGTTGTGTGTGGTCATATGGAGACCATTTTGCCTTTGTTCCCTGTAAAATTTAGACAACCTGCTCTTTATGTGGAAATATGTTTGAAAAGCTAAAATCTAACATCAACAAACCCAGAATCTTTAGAGGCCAGTGAAGTGGGCTTACAGACAATTTACTGCTCTATAGAGAAAAGGAAATGTGAAAATGTGTACCACTAATTTAACAGCAAGAAATGATAGTCAGAGGCATTAACTGAAAAAAGAAATCAGGCACTGCCATGCAAATGGAGCAAATCTCAGTTCAGAGCTGCCTACAATATCTGGGCTATGTCCTCAAACCATTTACTAGATGACACAGCAGTGTCACGTCCTCACGAAAGAGGGATATCAATTCTCTGACGTGGCTGGGTGTTTAATTTATTATGTTCCGTTCTCCTACATTACTGACCCGAGACTAGATCTGCCCATCGGTGCAGTGGCAAGAAGGCTGAGAGGGTAACCACCTGAGTGTGGGTTGGATTCACGGCCTGCTCTACAGAAGGGAGTTCACACTCGGTCAGAAGTCTGTGGCTGGGACGCCAGAGACCCTGTGGGAAAGCTTGAAAACTGTTGCCTTGCTAAATGGTCACATTGTTCAACTGCCTTCTGAACCACCTCGGCTACAGAAGCTCCTCTTGGCAGCGGTTAGCAGTCAATGCAGAGAATCATAACTGGTCAAAGTGTTGAAGACGAGTGAGTGCTGAGTACTCAGCCCTAAATGAGACATTCATATCACCAGCTATCCGCCTGGAGAGGCTCAGGGGATGCCACAGAAAAAGAGGCGGGGAAGAATGTAAGAGCCCGAGGACGAGGACGGGGAAGAGTGCTGTGAAAGGTTGCCTGTGGTTATGGCATGGCCACTGCGCTCAGGAGCTCACTAAAAGCTTGGTTGCTCTCGTAAGATCAATACAAGGTCAATTCAACAGGGTTACCACATTCTGTCAGGCAGCACTAACTGGGCTCCGTGGGTTTCCAACGAAGGAGTAGGAGGAGCATGATGTAGAGAGGGGGTATGATTAAGATGCATGTTTACATGTGTGAAACTCAAAGGATACATAAAAGACAGCCTATTACAATATATTCTATGTCAGCTGAGGGTGATGGCGCGTGCCTTTAATCCCAACACTCAGGAGGAAAAGGCAAGCGGATCTCCGAGTTTGAGGCCAGTCTGGTCTACATACTAAGTTCCACAACAGCCAGGGCTATGTAGAGAGACCTTGTCTCAAAAAACAAAAACAAAAACAAAAAACCAACCAACCAACCAAACAAACAAAGAAACCCAAAACCAACCAATCAAACAACCCCCCCAAATACACTAAATATTATTTGATGCCAGACATGTGTAATTACATTAAAGTCAGAATGTAGGTTTCCCGCTTTTTTCTGAGAAAGAAAGCTGAAGTCTCTTTCATTCCAGCTCACTGGAGGGCACTGGCTTTATCTGAAAGTCCAAAAGTAAAGATCTGTACAAACTTTCCTCTGTGGTTGCAGCCTTTGCAGCCTCGAATCTGCCTCACTGGATGCTGCCAGTGACCTACTGTTACCCCACAGAGCAATGACACGGAGGAGAGCAAACATACCTGCCGGCGACCTGGGCTCGACCATGCTTGTTTTGTTAGCAGTTGCAAATGCTATCGTTACCAAAGAGAGAGTTTGATGACAATTAACCTCACCATGCTGCTGCTGCTGGATACTTGTCTTTCTCTGCGGACGAATAATAGGAAGAATCAAAATAAATATGATTATGTAATCCAAGCAATTAACCAAAAAAGAGTTGGGACTAGACTTTATCTGCCAGTTAAGACTGATTTGACAGGATCAAAATCAAGTTCCTTAAGCATTCTGTGCCTTGGCTTGCCTACCTGTGGCATATCATTTCTGAACTTGGGTTTAAAACTTTGAGAGTTTTAACAAACACAGGTCTTTTTATTTTTATTAGTTACAGTTTATTCACTTTGTATCCCAGCTGTAGTCCCCTTCCCCATTCCCTCCCAATCCTACAATCCTTCCCTCTTCTTCTCCTCTGGCCCTCCCCCAATCCAATAATAGGGGAGGTCCTCCTCCTCTTCCTTCTGACTCTAGTCTATCAGGTCTCATCAGGACTGGCTACATTGTCTTTCTCTGTGGACTAGTAAGGTTGTTCCCCCCTCACGGGGAGGTGATCAAAGAGCCAGCCCATGAGTTCCTGTCAGAGACAGTCCCTGTTCTTATTATTGGGGAACCCTCTTGGACACTGAACTGTCATGGGCTACTTCTGTGCAGGGGTTCTAGGTTATCTCCATGAATGGTCCTTGGTTGGAGTATCAGTCTCAAAAAAGACCCCTGTGTCCAGAGTTTTTGGTTCTGTTGCTCTCCTTGTGGACTCCTGTTCTCTCCAGGTCTTTCTATATCCCCCTTCTTTTATAAGATTCCCTGCACTCTGCCCAAAGTTTGGCTATGAATCTCAGCATATGTTTTGATACCCTGCTGGGTGGAGTCTTTCAGAGGCCCTCTATGATAGGCTCCAATCTTGTTCCCTGTTTTTTCCCTCTTCTGATGCCCATCTCATTTGCCTTTCTGTGTCAGGATTGGGCATCTTACCCAGGGTCCTCTTTCTTGATTAGCTTCTTTAGGTGTACAGATTTTAGTATGATTATCCTGTATTATATGTCTAATATCCACTTATAGTTGAGTATATACCATGTGACAAACACAGGTCTTAAATCTGGAACTGCTTCCAGGCACTTGGCTCAAACATTTAACTAGTACTTATGGAGTACTTACTTTGGGGCAGGCACTGCTTAGGAGCCATAATGCAAAAGTAACTAATACATCGGGACGGGACATTTCAACCATGCACACAAGGTATAATGGTCAGAACAAGGAAGCTTGAGTTTCATCACTTCAAACATCAGCTCTTCATGCACTGGTTCATTTGAAGCATTCAATTAATTTTTGTCAAGCACTGGTGTGCAAAGGAATACTGAAGATTTTTCTTCCTCCCAGCTGTCCCCCTGACCTTCTCTAACTACCCTACTGCCTTCCTTTCTCCATCTTTTCTTGATGTGGCGTTGGATGAGAATGTCCCCCACAGGCTCATGGTTTTGAACCCTTGGTTCCCAGCTGGTGGTGCTGTTTGGGGAGGTTCACTGCCTTCTGTTTATAGGTCAGTGCTCCTCTCAGCCTCTGCTAGAGAAGCTTCTCTCTGCAGTAGCCAGCAGTCAAGGCAGAGACTCATAACTGGCAGAGGGTTGAAGATAAGTGAGTGCTGTGCTCTCAGCCCTATCCTACTGGATGTCACAGAAGAGGTGAAAAGCACTGTTTGCTTTTGCTCAGTATCAACCACCTTCTTCTGCATTTTAACTTTATCCATTATTGATTGAGCTGAGGTGAGGAAGGAAGCCCACAGTGTTCGCGTGTAGGTCTGAGGAGAACCTGGGAGAGTCAATGCCATTAGGAGCTGTGGCCTTGCTGCAGGAAGAATGTCACTGGAGAGGACTTAATGGTTCACACCATTTCTAACTTGATTGCTCCCTCTGGAACTGGAATCCAAAATAAACCCTTCCTTCCATATGTTGCCTTGCTTTTAGTGTTTTGTCACAGCAACAGAAAAGTAACTGAAGCACTCTAGTAACCACTATTCTACTCTCGATATCTCTGACATCAATATTTTGAGCGTCTGATTTAACTGAGAATGCTTATTTGTCTTGCTGTGCCTGATTCATTTAATTTAACATGACCCTTCGAGGCTCATTCATGTTGCTATAAAGGACAGGATTTCATTCTTTTAATGACAGAATGATAGCCCATCATTTGTGTGGTGGCATATGCCTGCAAATCCTGGCACTCAGAAAGCTGAGGAAGTAAGATCATGAGTTCAAAGCCAGCTTAGGCTACACAATGAGTATAGCCTGAGCTACATAGCAAGACTCTGTCTCAAAAGATTACATACATAAATGTACTCATACATGCATGTATAAACTATCTATATCTGTATGTTACACATATGTACACATGTATGTACAATGTGTGTGTATATATACCACATTTTCTTTATGCATTTATCAATGGTTAGACATAGAGGCTGATTCTACATTTTGGCTATTGTGAAAAAAGCAGCTACAAACATGGGGGTGCAGATAGCTCTCTGATAGTGATTATGGCTTCTTTAGAGATATACTTAGTAGGGGAAATGGCTCATATCGCTGTTCTATTTGTACATGTACGAGGAGCCTACCCTTTTCATGACAGTGCTAGTTTGTGTTCCCATCAATAATGACTGGGGCCTCCTCTGTGTTCATCCACTTCCAGTGCACACAAGAATCCCTCATTCTGTCTGCTTTTCCTTCATGTGACAACTTTCTACCCTGTCCGGAGGCTGAATTCCAAAAGCCAGTATCCTTCATCCCATTGTTCCTATTGGTTTGACCTGTTCAGTGTACCTACTAATAACGTCCCTGCATCCTGCTGACCGTAAACTACCATCTCCTGCCTAGGCTTTTGCAACGGCCTCCCAACTGTCTCTCTGCTTCCTCCCTGCACCCTACAGATTCATTTCATATATGGTACAGAGTAAAACTTCCCTGTTACCCCCTCTGCAGACCTGGATTTCCCAGCTATTTCCCTTAGCCATGTTTTAAAAGCCAGGCTGGATGTATCAGCAATCTCCTTAGTTCAAAACTGGAGTCTTATCTCTGGAGTACTTTAAGGTTAAAAAGTAAGAATGCTTTGGATTAAGTGGCAAGTGATTGACAGCATTGCTTTAGCAGATTAGGAGGGAGGGAAAGAGTTAAGTGAGACAGAAACCAGGTACAAAATCCTCCTAAAGAAGCCCCTGGACAGCACACTTCTGCCACAAGGGCTTGAGGAAGCGGTGACACAGAAAAAGCTGTCCTACAGAATCAGTCTAGCCCCACTATGCCACAATGATTGCTCAGCATCAACCACCTTCTCCTGAATTTTAAGTTTATGTATTGTTGAGTTGAGGGGAGGCACAAATGCCACACTGTGTGTGTGTGTGTGTGTGTGTGTGTGTGTGTACCTGAAGATAACTTGCGGGGGTCAACTCTCTCCTCCCACTATACAGGTTCCAGGGATGGCACTTAGGACTTCAGGCATGGATGGCCAGCCTCTTGGCCCTCTGACCCACCAGAGGGGTGCTACATCAAAGAACCAATTAAACCATGCTTAAGGCCAAAATATGTGGCCTTGGAGTTTAACCTCAAATCGGTTACTCTTCTCTCATTCAAAAACTATCAAACTCTGCCTCACAGAGACATGTCCTGGAACTGTTTTCTGTAAAGCTAAGGGATGATGAGAACCCGGTTAGTGAGCGGAGAGTGCTTCGGGAGAACCTGACCGCCTCAGGCCACAGCTGCAGCAACACCGCCCTGGATTGTAACGGAATTCTGTTTCCCCCAAGCACAGGAGAAACCTGGCACACAACAGTGCTGCTTAAGTAACAAATGACACTCACAAGACAACTCCCTGGGGAGCATTTCAGGCAATCAGTTGACTTGGGGATAGGACAGTATGATCAGAGGTGCTGGCAGAGTCCTGATTTGGGGGGTCTCTCAAACCAGGTCCAGCCATTTGCCACCCTCTCTCCCACTCCAAACCAAATGGAGAAGAACAACAGTGAAGAAAGGAATTTATTCAACAGAGTTCTATTGGGAAAATGGGAGTTGGGTTGGGGCGAGTGTGCTCAACCCCATTGGTAAGGGACAGATGACTCACTATATTCTTATAAGGGCCCATGAATACCTCATATTGTAAAAAAGACTCTCCGTATTCACTGAGAACAGCTTCTTTGTTTTGAGTTAATCTTTAACTTAGATGTAATCCAAGTGGTAACTTGGTCCCAGAGGGATGCAGTGATTCAAGATCCAGTGACCTTGGTGTAGCTGACCCCTCCCCCTCAATCTGGTTGGTAAGTACTTCGAGTCTGGTTCTGTGAGTTCCTGGAGAAGTCTGTATACCAGGCAGGTCAATACCCTTAGGTTTTAGAGGGCTACTGCTGCATACTGTGGGCAGCTTTGGCCCTTCATAGGACAACGTGGCCATTAGTTTCATCACACGTGGATTTTCTGTTCGCATGGTTACTCTGGGAATCTGGAGGGGAAAGAAAAAGCTGTCTCACACCTCTTTACTTTTAAGGCAAGGTTTCCTGTCCCTTAGGCTGTTTTTGAATTTGTGTAGTTGAAGATGAGCTTGAGCTTCCGGTCCTCCCGCCACTTACCCAGTGTGAGGATTACAGGTGCCCACCGTCATGCCCGATTTACAGGGCACTGGGGATCAAACCCAGGGCTTGGTGCCTGCCAGGCAAGCAAGCATTCTGCTGAGCTTTTACATTTATTATTTATAGACACATTCCTGCTATGTAGCCCAGGCGAATCTGAATTCACAATTCTCCTGCCTCGGCCTCCCCTCCAGTGGTGAGGATGTACCACCTGGTTCTTTTTTTTTTTTGTCTTCTAACATCTTAAGCGATCTTGGTGTTTTTAGACATAAATGAGGAAAGAGGTTAGACAGATAAAGGCCCGATCCACCTTGTAGTGCCAGTTTTTAGGCATACACACCTTAAGTGAACACGTGCAAGCCGCTCAGGAATCTGACGTGAAGTTTAAAGGGGACAGTAAGAAATGAAAGAGGACACAGCCTGGTCTATAAAGGGAGTCCAGGACAACCAAGGCTACACAGAGAAACCTGTCTAGAAAAAACAAAAAAAAAAAAAAAAAAAAAAAGCGGAGATTGCCAAGCTTGGAGCCTGATGGTTGCTCGCCACGGAGCCCGTTAGGAGTCAGACCTTCCAGCAAGCGCAGCCTCAGAGCCCCAGTTGCAGGCCGCTGGACCGCGCATGCGTGCTTCTGCGGCGCGGGGACGCGCGCGGAAGGCGCCCTCTGGCGGCGGCGCGCTGCAGCGGGCGGAGCCTCCCGGGATGGCGGGCGAGTCGCCGCGCTTCCTGCAGGCGCTGCCGGCCGAGCGCGGACCCGAGGCGGTGCGGACGCGGGTGCAGGAGCAGGACTTACAGCAGTGGGGTCTGACAGGTGAGGCGGCCGGCGAGGCCGGGCTGGTTCCCGGGCGGGCGGCGCCGCTGCGCGCTTTCCCGGCTCCCGAGCGCCCCCGCCGCTCTAACTCCTCCCAGCCCGCGCTTCCCCGCCGACTGAGCATGCGCACTCACCTGTTGCCGCTGGGGAGTGAGCTCAGCTGCGCTGCACGCGTTGCCCAGCAAAGTTTGCTCTTAAGTGCTCTCCTGTTAGCCCACTCGCCCTTACGAGCCCCGTGTGTGGGGATCTCACGTGTGGGGACCCCTGGTGTGGAGGCCCCAGAGGTGGAGAACCTATGTGTTGGTTCCACATGTGGAAACCCCGGGCGTGCAGACCCCAGATGGACACGAAGCGGCGTCCACTCTGTTCAGCACCCCCAGACTCCTTTCCTTAGGTATCTGCTGGGAATGTGGTGCCGGCTGAACCGGAAGTCAGGTTGTCTCGCTAGACGTCACGGTGTGATCGTTGCTTATTTCTGTTGAGAGTGGTCTGTGAGGTGTGGGGAGCGGATCAGCAAAATAAACGCCGGCCCTCCCTCCGAACCACTTCCTTAACTAGCTGTTAAGTGCCTTTGAAGGTATAAGGAAGCATTCACTTGACTTACACCTGCCAAGTACCACAAAAATGTGAGGGTTTGCCCAGGAACGGCAAGAATAGGTGCATTTCTGCCAGGCAGTGGTGCATGCCTTTAAACCCAGCACTTGGGAGGCAGTGGCAAGTGAATCTCTGAGTTCAGGGCCAGCCTGGTCTACATAGCTAGTACCACGACAACCAGGGCTACATAATAGGGAGACCTAGTTCTTTTTTATTTTTTTAATACTTATTTATTATTCGTACAGTGTATTGTCTGCATGTACACCTGCATGCCAGAAGAGGGCACCAGATCTCATTATAGATGGTTATGAGCCACCATGTGGTTTTTGGGAATTGAACTCAGGACCTATGGAAGAACAGCTAGTGCTCTTAACCTCTGAGCCATCTCTCCAGCCCCCAAGACCTTGTCATTAAAAAAGAAAGTCTCCTTCAGTTCTTCCTCCCCCTCTTCCACAGGATTCCCCCAGCCCCACTTAATGCTTGGCTGTAGGTCTCTGCGTCGGTTTCCGTCAGTTGCTGGGAGAAGCCTCTCTGATGACGTTTATGCTAGGCTCTTGTCTGTAGATGTAGCAGAGTATTGCAAACAGTGTCGGGGTGGGCTGGCTCCCTCTCGTGGCGTGGATCTCATTCAGCTCCATCTTTACCCCTGCACATCTTGCAGGCAGGACAAATGGTGAGTCATAGGTTTTGTTAGCCCACTTGCCCTTACGAGCCCAATCCCTCCATTGCCAGGTTCCAGGAGATGGCTGGTTCAGGCACCATAGCTGCCATTTCTAGGAGTGTTAGCTAAGGTCACCCGCTTTTCCTGGGAGTTTCCACTGTTCTAGGTTTCTAGCTTGTCCCTACAGAACTAACTAACCTGAGCCTCGTAGGAGCTCCTAGAGACTGAACTGCCAACTGAGCCTGCAGGGGATGAAGGGAGGCAGACTGCGTGTATGTAACGGTTGCACGGCTGGGTCCTCATGTGAGGCTCCTAAAGCAGGAACAGGGGCTGTCTCTGACTACATCGCCTGACTTTGACTCCCTTTCCCCTAACAGAGCTGTCTTGTCTAGCTTCAGTTGAAGAAGATGCAACTTGATATGCCAAGGCTGGTTGATATCCATGGGAGGCCTCGCCTTCTCTGAGAAAGAGAGGAGGAGTGGGAGGCGAGATTAGAGGGGGAGACGGAGAGGAGAGGAGGGAAGGGAAACTGATCATGATGTAAAGTAAACAAATAGCTTAATCAATAAAAACGTTAATGAAAAACACTAGTCCAGAAAAGAATGTAATTAATGTGTCAATAATTAAATAAAATGTATAATGAATTTAAAAAAAAAAAAAAAAGAAGTGCCATCCGCTTAGAGGAGGGACAGATGTAGATGGATGATTAGGTTTAGGAGAAAGACAATTTGAGTACTGCAGACCAAAGAAGTTCGTATCAATGTTTTTCTTTTATATTAAATTTTGTTTGTTTGTTTGCTTGTTTTTGAGACAGGGTTTCTCTGTGTAGTCTTGGCTGTCCTGGAATCACTCTGTAGACCAGGCTGTCCTTGAACTTAGTGATCTGCCTGACTTGGCCTCCCAAGTGATGAGATCAGAGGTGAGCGCCACTACTGCCCAGCATTATATTCAACTTTTAAAATGTTATTTTTGAGATTATAATTACAGCAACTCCCCTCTTTGCCCTCTCCAAACACTTCCATATACCTTGCCCTGCTTTCCTTCAAATTCATGGCCTCCCCCCACTTGTTGTTGTGTGTATATACGTATGTACATAGACATTCCTAAATATATCTCGTTCAGTCTGTTTCATGTTGCTTGTGTGTATGTTCTCTGGGCTGTCCATTTGGACAAACAGTTGGTGTGCTCTTCCCTGGAGAAGACCTTCTAACTTTTCCTCTCAGCTTTTCTTAGTTGCCTATACTTGTTTGTGTAGGGTTGAGGTCTCATGGCCTTCATTTTTTGTTTTGGCGTGTTCACTGGTGGTATCCCTGTGAGTGGGCATTCATGTTGGTGAGACTATGGATGTAAGCTCTGATGTTGCTAGGAGACATAGTTTCACGGCAAAGTCCCTGACCCTCTGGCTCATACAATCTTTCTGCCCCCTCTTCCACAGTAATCCCTGAGCAAGTGTTTTTTAGACATATCCTCTGGGACTGGGCTCTGCATCTCTGCATTTTGATTGGTTGTGGTTTTCTGTATATTGGTCTCCATCTGTTGCAAGGAGAACATTCCTTGATGAGGGGTGATAACTGCACTTATCTGTGTGTATAAGGACAAATGTTGATAGACTGTAAAGGATTATGCTGGCTTAGTAAGTTAGTGGATATATATTCTCCTCCAATAACCATTACTTCACTAGTACTGAGTAGTTAGCTTGGTTTCCAGTAGCAGGCATGGTCTCCCTCATGTTGAGCAGATCTTTAGTCCAATTAGAGAGCTGTTGGTTACCACCAATGCATGCATGCCAGTACTGCGCCATTAGGGTTATTGTGCCATGCTGGTAGCTGTGGTTCGTACATGTCATGGCTGGGTAAGATTGTTAGTAGCTTCCCTCCTTTGGAAGCTTGTATGATGTCTTCTGGTACCATGAAAGCAAGTCCTAAGGGAGGGGGCACTCAGCCTAGTTCCAGGTCAGGGGTCTCTGGTGACGAAACCGGCCTTAGATAATTTGGGACATGACGAAGAGAGTGGGGCCTGAGAGATTACAGGGCAAAAGAAAGAGACGGAAAACTTAGGATAGTTTCGGAAGGGTCCTCAGTCAATACTGAAGCAGCCAAGTTTATTTCACAGCTCCTTACAGTTCACGTTGGTACAAGAAACAGTCAAACTTGCTTTCAAAGTCCACATTACCAATATATCCAGAACCATTGTCAGTTTTAATGACTTCAATTATGGTACGCCCATAATACTAAAGCATAATGAGCAATGAGCAATAATGTGTTTAGCAGCTTTTTCAGTTTGTGCAGAAACAAAAATAAAGCCAGAAAAAGTCTCCGCTACTAGATGAACATATTTTTGCTGTCCAAATTCCTGAAATATGAGTAACATCCATCTGTCAAAGTTGATTAGGAATAAGCCCTCGTGGATTAACACTCATGAAAACTGTGGACACTGTGGGCATTGTTTCACAATTTGACAAGCAGATTCACTGGTGATATGATACTGTCTTCTTAGGCTATTGATATTTTGATGGTGCAAGGCATGAGATTGTTGTGTAATTCAGTTCGAGATAGGGCAATAATCTTGGACTGAGTGAGTTCATCGACCTTAACATTACCCTCTGAGAATGGACCAGGAAGACCAGTGTGAGCTCTTATATAACCAATATAATAAGCATGCTTCCTGTTCTCATGCAGAGTTTTATCTGCTGAAATAACTGTAATATTTGCTTATTGCTAGTTTCTAAATAAGGAATGGTTTCTAAAAGAACTAAGGCTCTAGCAATGTATTGACTATCTGTAAAAAGCTTAAAAGGTAAGTTGGTAAGAGTTTCAAAAATAGCAACAGCAAAAGCTAAAAACTTCAATAGCTTGAATAGAAGCAGGTTCAAAATTAAGTACTGTCTTTTTTTCCTTGAACAATAAATGCTGCCTTACCATTAGAAGAACTATCAGTGAATAACACAGCTTGAGGTAACAGTGATGTTCTTAAATTAATAGGAAATATAAATTTATGCATACTAGCAAATTGTAACAACTTGTGTCTTTTATAGTGATTATTAATGTTTTCCATAAAACATGTGAAAACAATAGGCCATAAATCAGTATTTTAGAATAACCAATCAATTTGTATTTTAGTATAAGGCACTATAATAGTATCAGGATCTTTATCAAAATGTTCACGAAGTATTCTAGAGTTCTGAACTAACGTTGGCACTGCTTCATAATGAGGAGTAATTACACAGGCAGGTAATGCAGGTAAATGTATCCAAAATAAAGCACCATTTTGCCCAAATACAACAGTGGGTGTATGAGATGTAGGTAGAATGTACTTCTTTGAAGGCAGGTCATAATCAA